AGCAACGTCCTCCACAACTAGACTGAAGAACAAAAGGACAGCAACTTGTCTGTTCCCCTTCCCCCAATTCCCCAATAAAAATCTTAAAAAAAAAAGAAAAAGGAAAAGAAATATCACTCTAGTTGCAGCAAAGGGAGAATAGACTGAAGGGGGTTGAAAATAGAAAAGAGGAGATTCATTACGTTTTTTCCTTAAGGAAGATGTGGTCTGGTAATGGTCTGAATAATGGCAGCTAATATTTTGAGCCCCATTATCTCATTTAATCTTTGCAACGCTGTAAGGTGATGGGACCCAAGGAACAGAAAAGCTAAGTAATTTGCCCAAGATCACGTTGGAAGTGGTGGCAGTAGCTAGGGAGGCGCATTTGAGAATTATTTAAGAGATGGTATGGTCATGGCTGGGTGACTAATTATTCAACTAATATTCATTATTGATTTTGGAAGGGTGGCTAAAGGAGCAGGAATTGTCAAGTATGATATGCAAGTTTCTAGCTTGGATAACTAAACAATGACTAATAGGAAATACAGGGAAGCAGGTGAGGGTGGGGGTGGGGTAGAAGAAAGTGATAAATTCAGTTTGGGGTTTGATTTTAAGGTGCCTGGGTAATTTTCAAGTGGCGATGTCTACAAGGCGGGCTAGCTTGCAGGGGCTGATTTGAAACTCAAAGTGAGAATTTGATGTCATCAGCCTCATTCTCTCCCAGAAGTAAAAACAAAACCACCTTTGGAGAAGCTGAAAATGATACAAATTTTGAACATGAAGCATTTAGGAAAACAGGTAATACAATAGAGTTAACTACTAGACAATCTTAGGTCACTATAGGGTAATTTTCTTCTATTAATTTTACTCAATTGTTTTTCACTAATGGCCTTTTATCTTGAGGTCCCCTACAGAAAAGCAGGGCTCAAGCTAGCTACTGTGCTGTGGAGCTGGGTATCTAACCAATAGGGAAGTCCTTTTCTCCCAGGGCATAGAAACTCCTTATTGAATAACACTAACTTTTGAAACACTAGGGAACCATTTAACAAATTATCATTTCAGTGCACTCAGTAGCGTCCTAATGTCCTGGAAGCAGAGCCCTAACCAACCGCTAGCCTCTCCTAGAGAACAGCTCACACAGAAGGAAATCTGCTTCATTATAATGGCAAAATATTAACATATCAAATACTTTTAAAGGGGGAGCTCCAGGTGAATTTCACCATGTGGACCGGCATTTTTCCTTTAATCCTCCTTCCCAGAAATAAACAATGCTGAACGTGTAGAATGAAGTAGTTAAAAAAAATTTTTTTTCATAAAATTTCTTTTCCAAGTCTGGACTATAGGGTTAATTCAAGTTTTTTTTTCTTCCATATTTGTATTTTTGCCCAATTGAAAGCACCTCCGCTCCCTACTTCTGCCTAGCCTGGCTCTCCACTTAAAAAAAGTTTTCATAAGAGAAAATTACTTGTAAGTAATCTGAAAATTGTGGCCACACCCTGGGAACACATAATCACTGCCTCAGGCAGACTGTGCAACTATGACATGAATAAGGAACCTTTGACTGTTTCTAAGAGGTATCTCTCTTCTGAAATCCCAAAACTGGTTCCGTAGAAATTGTTTTAGCATTTTTAATAGATACCCAAAACATATCTCCTTAAATCAACAAAGCCTCCTTTGATTTTTTCCTTTTGGATGTGGGTGTTATTTTTTTCCCTTCTCCAAAGCTAATGAGTCACTCGTACCAAATATTTCCATGTTGCTTTGCCACCGGCCTAATCTTCAAAGAAAACTGTCCAGGTTTTTGCATCCTCCCAAAATATGGCAATATCCAGAGGGCTCCCCAATGTGTGAAGACAACGTACTCTCAAATTTCCACAAGAACATCTGTACAAACGCATGAATGTAAAGACAACTGAACCCAATTTTAATGAATCTGATGAAAAACCATTTTTATGAACTGGTGCTGGATTACTAAAATAATTCTCAGTTTTTTTGATTTTTAAAAAGTATACTTTTAATTATAGAATATTGTTAGAATAATACAGATGTAGATAGACGCTAGGATAACTGTGACCAATACCATAAGGAAAACTGCTCTACATACTTACTTGTTCATTCACTCTCCACAACCATAGAAAACAGGCACAAAGTGTTCAGGGTATGTGCAGAAGCAGCCAGAATCTTGGGAGCAGAAGGCATGCAAAAAGCATTAGCAAAGAGAGTCCAATGCATAACTTCTATGCAAAGTTCAACACAGCAAATGGGCCGCAACTGGCAGAAACAGATGAGACAGGGCTGGTCTGGCCTTTGCCCTTTTCACTTCCCAGCTGGAGTGTACATATGCAGAGATGGCTGGGGTGCTCAGAAGCCAAAAGCAGCACCAGGAACAGGTTGGGGTGGGGCAGGGGAGTAGGGAAGGAAAAGGGGGTGAAATACAGTTAGGTCATGGAGATGCTGTCTTCTATGGCCACTCCAAAGCTGATGCCCGTAGTGGCTCACAGAAACAAAAGGAGAACTTTCATATTTATTAAAACCATCGGTAACATTGATACGGGAAGACATATTTGAGTTTAGTCATCAAGAACATGTAAGTCATTCAACAATTAAAATAGGAATACCCACAGCCTGCTAGATTTCGTATCAAACAAAAAACATGCTCCCTGCCCGTTTGTATTTAAATAGGAGTGGCAACAGAAAGAAAAAGCTCCTTGGTGAAGTGGTTTTTCATTTTGTGACTTTCAAGGTTCTGTCATTTGCAAGGGATGCAGTCTCACACAGCTGTGGGTCAAAACTCACTACAGTACATTGCCCAAGAGAGACCACTGGCTCCTTTTATACCAAGTCCCAAAGAGCTATGGCAAAAGTATTTTTCAAATGTTACAACACTCACAATAAAGCACAGTAGAAATAATTTGGGGCACGCTCAAAAAAAAAAAAATGTCCCTTACTTCAGTCCCATCTCCTGGGCATCAAGTCCCTCCCATCCCCAAGCCCAAATGCTTAAATAAGCACCAACATTTGGGATATTTCTTAATTCCTATTCAGGCTGAGATAAGGAGAACTGACACTACTGGGCTTACACTGGGTCAACTCTTATTTTAACCACTCATATCTGTAGGCTGAGAGGGTGAAAATACATTCCTATCTACGTTTATTAATTCCTTGTGATCAGCGCAAAGAGAAGATATTCAGTCTGAGAACAGGACAACTAGCCTATTTGTCCAGTCATTACCTCCCACAATTGACTGACACATATAAACAAGTGCTTAGTTCTGCACAAAGACAGCTCTTACAGGCGAGTGCACGCTAGGACACTAGTGTTTCAATTTTTTTTCATAAAGAATGAAAAGGACCTTCCTCTGGCCGGCCAAATGGTGCGTTGGTTAGGAGTTGGCTTGGGACGCCGGCTCTGAGCAGCAGGACCCCGGTTCGGATCCCACATGAGGGCCAGTGACGCTGCGCCCTCTACAGCTGAGATGGTGAACAACAGCTCGACCTGGAGTGGGACTGCCGTGAGTCGCCGGCGACAGCGTAGGCTGTAGTGAGGCTGGCCGGCAGCTGGCGTGACTTTCATGAACTGCCGTGAGTGGCCGTCCAATGGCCGGCAAGCAACTGCCTCACCCAGGAAGAGCGCAATGATCACCATACTAACATGGGCCAGTCAAGCGATGTCCTCCACAACTAGACTGGAGAACAAAAGGACAGCAACTTGTCTGTTTCCCTTCCCCAATTCCCCAACGCTGTTCCCCAATTTTAAAAAAAAAAAAAAAAGGACATTTCTCACACTGGAGCTATGTCTGTAGTTCTGTCACACGATCAACATCACCCAAAAACATGCTAATTCTGTGTGAATTCAGTTTCTGCTATTGGAAAAACCACAGGAATACATTTTACTGTACATACACATGCCCTTATGCAAGCTATGAGAAACAATGGGATGTGGCCCTTATCAAATCCTAGAGTTAAGCAGTACAGGGAGAATCGATCTTAAAGGGTAGAGGAGAAAGAATACAGAAATGACCCATGAAAGAACACAAAAATGACCTGTGTTCCTTGGGAAGGGACTCTGTGCTTCCTTCCCTGAAGTCATTAATTCCACTTGCTCCTTACGCTTCACCATCACTTATGGTCCTACCTTTCCTTGAAGATATTTTCCCTACAATGTTCCCTACAGTGAGTCCCCAAAGAAAATTGATAAATTCCGATTAATGACAATAACAACAGTGGGCATCACTTGCTAAAGTCACCACTACTAATGAGTCCTTGGTCCCCAAACCTGTGTTTCATTTTTTCTTTCAATCTGTATCTTCGTTTAGCTTTCAGAAAGATGCAAGCTTTAAAAAAAGTTAATTAGGAACAATGAGGAGAAAAATTATGATCATTGCCTTCATTGTGCAGGATCCAGCTCTCAGGAAGGCAGAAGGATAACAAATGCATGAACAACTCAAGGAAAAAGCCCTTTGAAGGAGAAGATCTGTGTGCCCAACTACTATGGTGAATGAGTAAGTGTGGAAATTCAGGCAAAGTCTCTGGTTGTATTTTTCCAAAGCAGTTGTGACCACCCTTTTACAGTCCAACATTTCCCCTAGTAGTTTTTTGGGCCAAGGATGGGAGAAATAACTTTTAAAGATTTACTCCATTTCCAGGCCTGAGCATTTACCAGCATTTATCCCCTAGTCTTCAGATTTCCGGTTACTTTTGGGGCTGATTTTGATGAAGTAACTCCTTAATATGGCATGAATAAAAATCACTATTTTGGGAAGGGGATAACATTCCCAAAGCTGTGGGTCAGAATTTCAAATGGCTTGTCTTCTTTGATGTTTTAAACTGTGGCCCACAGCAAGGAAATTCGGTACTGTATAAGCTCAGTCTTGAGAGAGCTCTTTGATATCAAATAAAACTGTACCTTCAAATAAACCATTTCTCAGTCATAATTACAGGACTTAGTCGGTGTGAACTCGCTTATGTTTAATAAGAGCTGAGCTCCGGCTGAAACTCTTCTCACATTCGGTACATTCATAAGGCTTCTCTCCCGTATGAACTCTTTGATGTGTGATGAGGTTGGAGCTCTGGGTGAAACCTTTTCCACACTGCACACACTCATAAGGCTTCTCTCCTGTGTGGGTTCTCTGGTGTTTAATTAGATCTGACCTTTCACCGAAACTTCGCCAACATTCATTGCACTCGTAGGGCTTCTCTCCAGTGTGAATTTTCTGGTGTGTGATGAGATGAGAGCTCCTGCTGAAGCTTTTCCCACAAGCATTACATTCATATGGCTTTTCCCCAGTGTGGGTTCTCTGGTGCTGAACCAAGTGTGAGATGCGGCTGAAATTCTCCCCACATTCATTACAGTGGTAGGGCTTTTCTCCCGTGTGGGCTCTGCGATGGCGCACAAGGTCGGAGTTTTGACTGAAATTCTTCCCACACTCATCACACTTGTAGGGCCTCTCTCCAGTGTGGACTCGATAGTGTTTGATGAGATCAGATCTCTCACTGAAGCCTCGCCCGCATTCATTACACTCGTAAGGTTTCTCGCCTGTGTGGGTCCTCTGGTGCTGAGCTAGGTGAGAACTCCGGCTGAAGCTTTTCCCACACTCCTCACACTCATAGGGTTTCTCCCCACTGTGGGTCCTTTGGTGCTGGATTAGGTGAGAAAGCCGGCAGAAACTTTTCCCACACTCATTACATTTGTGGGGTTTTTCTCCAGTGTGGATTGTCTGATGCTGGATGAGGTGAGAGCTTCTTCCAAAACTTTTCCCACACTCATTACAGTCATAGGGCCTCTCCCCCGTGTGTGTTCTTTGATGCTGAATAAGATGTGAGCTACGACTGAAGCCCTTTCCACATTCATAACACTTATAGGGTCTGTCTCCAGTGTGGGTTTTCTGATGTCGATTAAGGTCTGAGATCTGACTGAAGGCCTTCCCACAATGAGAACATATATGATATCGAATGCCTGCGTGAACTTCTTTGTGGACAAGCAGATCTGTGACTTGTTGGAGAGGATAGCTTACCCACTCTTCTGCTGTTAAATCTCCCCACTGTCTTTCAGATCTATCCCTGCTTTCAAAGGCCTCTTCACTTTCAGGATTTTCCTCAGTATTCCCAACAGGTCTTTCAGATGCAGTCCCAAATTCTACATCTTCACTAATCTCTTGCTTTGGATTCACCTCATTCTCACTTCTGATCTCAAAATCTGCAATAAAGGGTAAATAATAATAATAATAATATAATAATAGTAGTAGTAGTAGTAGTAGTAGTAGTAGTAGTAGTAGTAGTAAATGCACAAAAAATTATCTACTGTGTGCCAGGCACTGTTCTAAGTTCTTTACATGAATTACCTCAACCGGCCTGCGAGTCAAGCATTATGATGATTTCCACTTTATGAATAAGAAATCCATGACCAAGAGAAGTGACTTGCCAAAGGTGATAACAGTAGTAAATGGTGGAGCCAGGGTTCAAATTCAGATCTACCTGATAAAAGTTCATACTCTGTATCAATACAGTTAAAGGTTCTTTATGGAAAAAAAAATAAAAAAATATATATATATATATGTTTTGTGGGGTTTTTTTCCTATTCCTGGTGTTTCAAAAGAAGAAAACCAGAAACACAGACTATAAGAGACTCTAAATTAGAATCTCTAAGAGCCAAAAGCCTAGAAATTTTACGAGTGAATGCATGTGTGTATATGTGTTTGTTCTTAACTGGTCAAGCCTTTATCATTACCACTATACAATATTTACTAAGAACCTACTGGGATAGCATGAAGAAAAATAAATTTTTATTTATTTATATCAAGTCTTAGTTCACAGGACAAGTGACTGCCAAATGCTACTTGCTACTTTCCAGTGGCCTTTTTAATGAAAATAGGGGTGGGAAGGTTGGAGAAGGCAAAAAAGGTACATTGCTCAGAACATTTTTGGCACTAAGTACAGTCTTCAAATGAAAATATACAGAGGGTGCCAAAAAAATGTATATGCATTTTAAGAAAGGAATAAGCTATTAAACTGTAATACTCATTTTAAGAAAGGAATAAACTATTAAAATTGTAATAAATATATACCAATAACACTCAATAATACTCAATAACAAAAGATGAATACACGTCACATTCGACTTCTGCAATTACAAGAGGTGCTCAAAATGGTTACCATCAGCGTCTAGACACTTCTGATTATGGCAAACTACTGCTTGAGCAACGTTGACCAAAGTGTCTACTTGTATACGTTTTTTTGGCGCCCTGTATATACAACCACTGTGTACAAGAAACTTTCTACCAGACACTGCGTTTTACAAGTTGTTTCTTAGTACAGTCTTCAGAAAGAGGTTACTAGGTATGCTGGGAGAAAAGGATCCATAGATAAATTAGTTTGGTAAATCATGCATATAACATCATCTTAGAAAATCATAACGCCTGATAACATGTTAAAGGTTCTAAAGAGTCTTGAGATACAGAATACTTGTAAGCGTTATTTAGTACACTCCCAAACTTATTTTGGCAAGTAACTTTTTTCCTTTTTTGGTGCTTCCATGCTTCCATCTTTCTAACAAGTGCTCCTTGGATTGAACCATAGACATATAAATTCACATTTCTTTAAGATTCTCATTTCTTATTTTTGTTGGATTGAGTGGAATATTTGGGTTACAGACTGCAATATAGCTGGATAGATAACCGCACTTCTAGTTGCTTTTCTAAAGGAAGGATCCAAGCAGTTTGGGACATCAGAGAGAGCTGAAGTTAAAAAGAAAACCTCTCATAGTTACCTTTTGTTCTGAAAACAGCTATAGGAATACAGATTTCAAAAAAAGGATTAGTCTTAATGAGTGACAGATAACCTAGTGAACCATACATGGTTGCTAACTTTTGTCAAGCCTAAACAGGGACAGAGTGAGTCCAAAGACTGTTCAGCTAAAGAATATACTGTTTATTTTAGTTACACTCAGACCTAAGAGAAAAAACAGGTTTGCAGACCATCAAAAAAATTAGCTTCCCTCACTAGTAGAATTTGTAATCTGATTTAGTTCAGGGTTCTCCTGGAACAATATTTGACACACTTGAAATCTATGATCAACCTGAAACATCTCTAGAAAAGTACCTATTCCAGATAAAGGACCTGAGGCAAAGCTAGGGATCTGAAGCCAAAACAAACACAGAAAGGTAGGTGGCTCCTGTCTTCCCCATGAACCTGGGTCAGAACCCCTCATCTTCTAGTAAAAGCACCATTTATGGGGGCATTTATATCCTGGCAAGCACCATTATGTCAGACCTGTTTGGTCAGTGATCTGTACAAACAGGCTGGAGAATGGCAAATGACTCAGGGCACCAGAAATCTGAATGCTTCTAAAATGTGCAGAAACATTCTTTCTTTTTAGACAATATTGCCTTGATGTTCCCACATTCAAAGACATGTCTGAGGACTCAACTCAAGCCAACATCCAATTAAGTGCTTTAAAAATCAAACAACTGGGTTGTGTTGAAAGAGCTAAGCCATTGCTGACACAGTCTCAAAAACACGGGATGAAGAAAAGTAGAGAATCCTTACTTACCTAAGGAGACAACATTTCCATAATTCTCCTGCATAACATCCCGGTAAAGGTCCCTTTGTGTAGGGTCCAAAGGTCTCCATTCCTCCCGCGTGAGATACATGGCCATATCTTCAAATGTCACAGGTGCCTGAAACCACACAATGTTTCCTCATTACTTGGTATCTGAGATTAATACCAGTTTTTCTTCTTGAAATTAGACATGGCTAGAATCGTTGAGGAGACAAAAGGTATTAAATCTGATCTGTAGAGTCCAAAGAAGAAAGAAACTAAAAAGAGATGTCGTAAAGAAGGGAGCAATTTATGAGCTGATCTGGTCCTATGGCCAGATATCCCTATCCGACTCCGGAGCCTTATCCTCTAGCTGTACTGTTCTCAAAACACATCTAGCACCTACATCTTTCTATACCTTACTCACAATGTTCCTCTTTTCCTGACTATCTTTCTCAGACTAGAAAAATCCTACTATTCTTTAAAGCCCAGTTCCAGTACCAACTATTCTTCAGTGCCCCCATCCCTCTGCTCTGCTCCACTCTTGCTTTGGATCCCTTAGACAGAATTAATCACTCCCACTTCTTGGTTCCCACACCACAGCACTTCGTTCCTAAGGCAAATACAGCTCTTATCACATTGTATCACGGTTAACCGGACGCGTCTGTCTCCCTACAGATTGTGAGCAGGCGGGGAGGCCCCGTTTCATCCATCTTTTGTCTCCCCGGTATTTAAAGGCATACAGCAGGTGTTCAATAAATGCTTGTAGGTGGCGAAACTGGCCTGATACTAGGTCCCTGGAGGCAGAATACCGAACCGAGCTAATTACTAATCCCAGGGAATTTCCCACAGGGATTTGCAGAGCAAAGAAACGCCGCGACGAGATGGTTAAGCACAGGCAGGGTCCGCGAAGCCACCCCCAGCTTACCTGGGACCCAGCCATGAGCAGGGTGGCTGCCATCTCTGGCTCAAGGATTCGCCTCCCAGGAGAGAGAGAGCAGGAAAAGCAGCTAGCACACAGCGCTAAAGGAGGCGAAAAGCAGGGCGTGAGGCACAGAAAACAGGCCCTGCCCACTCCCCAGGGCTGGAGTTCTGGCCGCCAGGCTGGTGGGAAGGGCCCTGGACCTGGGCAGGGTCACTCTCCTCCCTGACCCTTGAGCGCGACCTGACTTCTGTTTCTCCGCCACCATGGGGTAAAGGCAATGCCAGAATTTATAAAGACAGCTCCATGGCTCGGGTCTTCCAGGGCTGGGGGGAGGGTCAAGCCTCTGCGGTCTCAGGGAGCCGACTCTCAGCCCAGCCCACAGAACGCCTCTGCTCTTCTATCTCGAGGCTGGGCCCTTTCCGGCAGCTGCCTCAGCCAATCAACGAACGAAGCTCGCAAAACGCTCTGCCAATTAGAAGCCAAACACTAGGCCCACCTCCTGTAGCATGGCTGGGCATCTCTATCACGCCTGCGCCTGCCCCCTGTGGCCTGCCGGGAGTTGGAGTTCCATTCCGGCGTACAAAGGCCAGTCAGGGGCCAAAAGCCAAGGAGGGAAAAGAACAAAAGGGTGAAGAAAGAAGCGCGTCCTCCTAGCTAGGGTGGAGTATCTTCCGCTTTCTTCTACTGGCGACCACAGCTCGATTAAGCCAGGAAGGAAGCCCTGCTTCTCCTCACGTCCCTAGAAGCTTGAGTCGGACCTTAATTGCGACGTTGGCCCTAATTTAGGCGCTGGCCTGTCTTGGGTTCCGCTGGGATTATACCTCTTTTGACAGCCCTGGCCTGAGAGAAAAGCGGCAGCCGCCCAATCCCCAGGGTAGACTCCGCGGCCGCGCTGGAACTTTGAGCTCCGCCCTCGCACTACATCTCCCAGCAGCTCCTGCGGCATTCGCACCCTACTACACAGACTACAACTCCCAAGAGGCCCCGCGCCGCCCGGAGGGCTAGCGAGTGCGTTCAGCGGCTGGGCCCCGCGGCGTGCTTGCTATTAACCCTATAGGGACGTCGGACCCCGTTCTTCCAAAGAAGGCGCCCCCTGAGGGGCGGACTGAGTTGCACCTAGCGGACAGAAAGCGAAAACCCTGAGAGAGGGTGGGGGGACAGGGCGCGTAAGGAAGAGAGAGACAGGCCCCAGCGCTGGAAAGGGCCATCCTTGTCATGCCCAGGGCTTATCTGCTAAATGGGTTCCCGACGGCCTCCGGCTCCAATGGAATCATAAGCCTCTGAGGGCCTCAGTCGGATGGCACCTCAGGATGTTAACAACCCCTGACCGGCTGAAGATAGGAAGCCGAAAACTCGAGCTGAGAACGAACAGACTTACCTCCTGGCCCGCAAAAGATCCACTAGATCGTCGGCTCCAAGATCGCCAGATTTCAAATCCGCAGGCAGAGTTCTCTGAGTTTTAAGCGTTCGGAAAGATTCTAGAGATCGCTGGCAGTTTCCAGATATCTCAGACCCGCAGGTAGATCTCGAATCCTTGCAGGCAAAGCACAGAGCTCGTAGGCGGATCCCAAAGACTCAGATTCTCGAGACCTCGAACTCTCAGGCAGCTCAGAAACCACAGGCTCGTAGGCAGATCCCTCTGAGACCACAACAGCTAGCCAAGAATCACCACTAGCAGCTAAGCTGCATTCGACTGGAATTCTCCCGAACGGAAGGACTTGCAGCCTTCCCTTTCCCCAGCCAGGATGAGAAAATTAGACAATGGAAGCCGAGCACTAGGGAAAGCAGGCATTCTGCATGGAGAAGAGCTCTGAGCTCGCTGTAGCCTTGGAGAGGGAAGTGATGGAAAAAGAATATAGCAGCTTATTAGGGACTCCCACCCTCTTCAAGTTATAAATATCCCCAGAACCTTGGCTACGTGCCCAGAAGCCTGTTGTCTCTAACTGTACAGGAGACTTCTCTGCCTGGGCTGGGAAAGGGGCTTTTCTTTTGTTTTACAGATATATCCACCCACTGAGTGACTTCAGTTATTTTTTTTTCTGAACATGACTCCAGGCAATGCTTTTATTAGTGAGTGTCCTGTTCCCAGTGTCCAGTTATTTATGGTTAAATTACTCAAGTATCTAAAAAGGACTAGGACCCTACCCAGCCATGAGGCTGACTCTCCCACTCGCATTCCTCTTCTCACTCCAAACTGTGAGGCCAGGAATTCTTTAGGTTCCACAGAATTGTACCATCTTACCCCATCTAAAATTGATATGGTACCAAAACAAACAAACAAAATGGAATCACAGAGGGTCCCCAAGTGGCAGTGTCCCTAGTAGGAAGTGTGAGGGTCAGACAGACCTGGGTTGGAATCTACAGCTGTGTATCCTTTGGAAAGTCATTTAATCTCTGCAGGCCCATTTCCCTTTTTGTAAAATGGGGTAATCACACCTAAGGCAGCGGTGAGCACTAAGCGAGATGACTTAAAGCACTCCACACAGAGTGAGCACTCATGATATCTGTTATTTATCCTGCCTTGGGGAGGAGGGGAGACTTTCAGAAAGGTCTGTGGATATTTTCACTGGCTCAGAAAATCTGGAAAGTCAGAGGATCTGCTGGTGACCTTATCCTCACATAATATTTCTGCTGGAAATCCCGAGGGGACTGAAGTATGACCAGTTGCATGGGTTCAAGCGAACTGGTGCATTGATCCCAGTAGAACAGAGGTATTGGGAGCTGCCAGGAACCCAGCAAGATAAGGCCTCACCCTCAGGGAAACCTCTGGGACAGGAGGTAGGGGATCAGTTCAGACTTTGGCTGAGTAATTGCAGGTTTCTAATTGGGCCTAAGGTGAGGTGAACTGAGTGCCTAAAGCCGCTCAGCCCAGCAGGGCTCCCTTTTCATGCCTCCTCTGACAGATTGCTTTGTAAACTTTCTTAGGCCTTTTCTCCCCATTGCTCCAGTGCTTTAAGTCCTTCTTTGTCCTCTGCTGTTTCTTTTATTCCTCAGGCCTGCCTGGGGGCAGGGCGACTCTAAGCCCAGCTTGGCTGCTTGCCTCCTTCTGTGAGTAAGTGCTTTTCTCTTTCTTCACCTGGGACCCTCCAGAGGGTGGAGAAGAGAGTCTGAGAGCGAAGGAAGCCTGACTGCATTTGGTGCCCCTGGGGGGATAGGGGTAGGGAGTGGAAGAGGGGGAGGAAAGAAAGTGGGTGAGGGGCTTCCGATGCAGCCTCCAGCTGGACTGAGGATTGGGGTCACTGGAGGAGGAGGTAGCTTCCTGCCCCATTGTTCAGGACTTCATTGTTTCTCAGGAATACTTATTGTATGTGGGTTTTCAATAACCAACTCAGAAAGCTGTTTTTGTCCCATATTCAGCAAATAGTGAGCACCTGCTGTGTGCAGAGGCAGCAACACAGCCAATCACTAGGAAAAGAGGCCAGGAGAACCATTTGACCAGGGTCTCCAATTTAGATTTTTGACATTATCTCTAAATAGGGTTATACGATATGTCAGATCCACTGACCAATTTGATCAAAGACCCTCCTTGTATATCCTTAAGCTTGTTTCTTACCAACAGATCACTGTGCCTATGGAGCACTATAAGTTTTTAAATAAATGCTATAATTATCTTATGAGCCGCACAATTATGTTGTAATTTTTTGTATTAGAAGCATTAATTTGTTAACCACTGAAAAATATGCCTCAATATTTGTGATCTTATTTAGTCATCTCTTCATTTTCAAATATACCACTAATATCAAAAAAATCAAAGTGACCCGGGCTTCTCCTGACCCTTGCTGGGAGCAGAGATGAAGCCTCAGCCTGGCACAAGGAGCTGGGGACATGGGGGACTCGCTGATTTGCAAACAGTCACTGCAGTTCAACTACTACAGTGTATGGATGAGCTAGCTCGTCTGCACCAAGGAGGGGGGCGGACTAGTAGCTGGAGGGTAAGAGAGGAAGTGTCACAGAGGAGGTGACAGCTGAGCTGGCTAGCAAAGGCGTAGGAGTCTTGGAGGTGGAGGACGAGAGGAGGGACAACATTCCAGTCTCTGAGAACAGCATGTGCGAAGTCATAGAGGCATGAGAGGACAGAGCGTGTTGCAGAAGGGTTAGGATTGGGTATGGCTAGAGGGAAGAGTGTGGGAGTGGAGCCCAGGGGAGGAAGCCGACAGGGACAGTCTCTTCTGTCCCCTTGCTTGCCTGCCTGTTTTGCCTGCCTTTGACTGTGGATCAGCAAAGCTGATGATGAGGTGCAGATGGAGGGCAGCCTGGGGGCTGGCCCTGGGAGTGAGAGGAGCAGATTGACTCTGCAGGAGGAGGGGGGAGTGGAGGGGATTGGGCAGCTCTTTTTGACCTCATGAGTTTTAGCTGGTTTTCTCCTGAGAGAAGCAACATTTTTTAAAAAATGTAAACCATTGCATTAAAATGTACAACAAACGTGTTTAGTTTGTTTAGCTTACTTAAAGGCATCAAATAGGCCCATATTCACCAAACATTTTTACTATGTCTCTCAGACACTATGCTGGGAGATAGGACACCGCCCACCACAAATGACTCTAGGGATGCTGTGAAGATTAAATGTGAGAATGGCTTCCAAATGCATGGGCACAGAGGAGGGGTGACCATCACTGTTATGGGAGAAGTAAAACACATCATGCTCTGTGAGGTGAAGCTATATTCAAAGTGGCTCCGAGCATGAACAGGGGCCTGGGTTCAAGTCCAGATTCAATCTCCTGGAAGCAAATTACCCTGTAAACCTTGGTTTTCTCAGTCTGTAAAAAGAATATAGTATAATTCATAGAGACAGAAAGTAGAACAGTGCTTGCCAGGGGCTGGGGGAGGGGAATTGTATAGGTATAGAGGTTTGGTTTTGCAAGATGAAAAAAGTTCTGGCGGTTGGCTGGACAACAGTGTGAATGCACTTAACACAACTGAACTGTATGTACCCTCAAAATGGTTAAGATCGTAAATTTTATGTATATTGTACCACAGTTTTTTTTTAAAGCATAATAATAATCTAGTTCATGGGATCTGAGGGTTGGTTGAGCAATAAAAAGCATTCCATTGTACTCACAGTAATAATAGCTAACATTTACTAATCGGGTACTTTGTGTCAGGGATGATTCTTGTGAATCCTCACAACAACCCTTTGAGCTAGGTGTCATTACCAGCATTTTACAGATGAAAAATGCAGGCATGGAGAAGTCACATAAGGTGTTCGAAATACCCAGCTAACAAATGCTTAATAACTCACAGATAGTATTGACACCGTCATACAAAGATATCGACATTATTATCATCATGGTACAATGTAGTGTCATTATGAGTTTCACAGCACTGTGTGTTCTGAGGAACCATCTCTTGCCACCAGGGAATTAGAGAAGGCTTCATAGAAGATGCCCAGTACATCTGAGATGAGCCTTGAAGAACGGGTGGGGGAGTGGGAGGGGGAGTCAGCATAGGCATCACAGTTGGGAAGGTCTGTCAGGTTTTCAAGAACAGGGCACTACTTCCCTTAGGCTGGAGCAAAGGGGCAGCAGAGGTGGAAAATAGACCACCAAAGACAGGCAGAAGGAAGATGGAGGGGAGCTTTGAATTTTATTTGATGGCTGGTGAAAATCCACGGAAGCTGACTGGGGACGTGATGCTCAGAGCCGTGCAGGGCAGAGGCAGGTAAGGTAGGGAGTGCTTCGAATTGAGAGACCAGTATAAGGTCTTTGCATAAGTCCAAGAGGAAAAACCCAAAAGACAATGTTGATAGTGATGGTGATGGAGAGAAGGGTGGGCAAGGGAGAGACTTTAAAATTGGTAACTGATAAAGTGAAGAGGGCAAGGGGAAAGGGTCACAGATGGTCCTAAGTCATGGTAGTAACTGACAAACAGAAACAAGAGAAGAGGGGATTTAAGAAAGAGAAGATGTGAGTTCAGTTTCAGATTAATTGTATCGAGAGGGCCAGTGGGGTACTCAGGGGAGGGAGATAACCAGATAGGCACTTGGTGAGACTAAACTCAGGGCCAAAATTAGAGATTTGGTAGTCTAGAGGAGACTGCTAAGAAGGCCTTCTCATTCCGTATAGTATTTCAAGTTCCTGTAACCTTTGGAAACATCTTTCAAATTGGTCATGGGATCGTGAATGTACTTTTGTTTTCAAGGTCCCTTGGCCGTAACATTCCTGGTGAGACCTTCTCTCCTTCCCAAGCACATTGCCTCTGTTTCACCCCAGCTGACCTTGTCTTTTTCCACCTATAAAGCAGCAACCTCCCCTCCCCTAGGAAGCCTTCCCCGGTGGCAGAAGGTAATGCTAATTCCCTTGCAGTTCACATCCTCTTCATCTTTGCTATGAAGGTGGAGATGGGGTTAAATCACGTGTTCCAGCCAACAGCATGTGCAAAGACTGTGGGACAAGGAGCACAGCATGGCCAGTGGGGCTGGGGCACAAAGTGTGGGGGCGAAGCAGAGGCCAGCCCTGCAGGGCCTGGTAGACCCTGCCAAGAGCAGTGGGGGGGGGGGGAAGGGTTTTAAATGGGAGTGGTAGCATGGCGGGCTGTAACATGACCAGAGTTGCAATTCTGAACCACCTGTTCTGGTCCATGCAGAGAGCATGGATTGGAGAGGCTCCCAAGTGGACACAGGAAGACCCGTTGGGAGGGTATTGACGCCTGCTGATGAGCACGGCCTGAGGCCCATTCAGGCTTTTCTGTGTCCCTTTGTGACTATGGACGGATACTGTATGGATGTGCGGACTGGAGCTGACTTGTTCTTTTGCTGTTGAATCTGACTCATCTCCTTTGTAAACAGTAAGGTTATTGAGGGTAGAGATTCGGTTCTGTATTTTGTCCTCGGCTGTAAATCCCTACGACACTGGGAGCACAATAGATATTTAAACTGGGACGATGGAAAACTGCCCCAGGCTGCCACCTTTCAAAAGCCTCAAAGTAACATTTATTGACAGTATTAAATGGATAGTGGGTATTTTGTTCCACGTTTGGTTTCTAGACACTTAGACAGAGGATTAGATAATGCAGAGAAAAAAAAACTGGATGTCTAAACTCTTACTACTCAAAGTGTGGTCTGTGGGCCAGCGGCATGGGCATCACCTAGGAGCATGTAAGAAATGAAAACCCTCAGTTCCCACTCCAGACCCACTGAATCAGGGTGTGCATTTTTACCATGACCCCCAGGGGGTTCCCATTCATATTCAAGTATAAGAAGCTCCTGGGTATCTAAGCAATATCCCTCCAGACTTCTGTGGGTAATAGCCATACCTCAGGTATGTATCACACCCTGTCTGGTGTAGAAGTCTGTCCCTGCCAGGCTGGGAATTCCTGGAAGGTAGGGGCTGAGCACTGTGGATGGCCCTGGATCTCTCAGTCCATCGAGCACCATGACAGGAAACAGAAGACTTGGGGTTCACTCCTGGGTCTGCCATTGATGGGCTGTACATGTTGTATCATCTGTGAGAGGATTTTCAATCCTTCCAAAAGACCCACCCCAAATCTGACTGTGGAAAAGCTGAAGATGGCAGCAGGTCTCTGTACACAGTTTATTCACTGGCTTCATCTACAGGAGGAAGCATTTGGCGTGGAAAGCGGGAAAGCAATAACCAATTCAGAGTGGATGATGCCCAGGGCATCTAAGGAACTTGGGCTAAAGTTACCCCAAACAGCTGCCCTAAGGGTGAACCAAGGCAGATGGAGACCCAGTGGCCTCTGTCCAATCAGAGGTAGGTGCTAGCACCTCTCCCATTTTTGCAGGTAAGGAAACGGCTCAGAGAAGTTAAGTGACTTGCCCAGGCTCCCAGGAGTTCACAGGCTTCTGTATGCCAGTCATTCTAAGAAACCCAGAGTTCGGAGCTCAGCCTGGGGCTTCCGGGAGGCCAGGGACAGTCAGAGACTCTGACTCAAAACGGGCCCAACAGAACGGGTCCCAGGGCTTTTCCAGAAGGTTCCAGCTTTGTCGAAAGCTCCTATCAGCTTAAAAAGCAAACCGATGTAATCATGGGAGCAGCACGAGGAGGCCCCTGGCCCTACAGACTTCCTCCGAAGCTCAGGCCACCGCTGGCGCTGTGAGGGACACATTGCCAGTGCCTGGAAGGTTCTGAGGCTCAGCACCTCCCAGGGTCCACGGAACCAAGGGGCACCACCATACCCTTCACCCAGAAAGCCTCAGCTCAAGGCAGTCTGTTCCCTACCTAGAGGGACCAGGTCTGGAGTCCTCAAAGGCTCCCACAGCCAGCTATGAACAGGGAATAGCAGGGAGTTTGGGAGGAGATGAGGAGTAGGGAAGAAATCTTTCTGCCTAGCATGGAAGTTATATCTGCCTAAGCCAAACTGTGGGCCAACTTCTACACGTGTGACTCTGGAGTGGGGTGGGGTAAGAGTTGTGTCAGTCTGGTATTTTTCAATCAGAAAAGGCTGAGAGGTTCAGATGTGAGGGAAGGGACTCAAAGCAAAGGTCTGCCAGCCCACTGTGAAAGATAGGACACCTGAGCTATGAGGCTCTGAAGTCTGTGAGTTTCTACAAGAGGTTTGTCAGCACAGGCTCTTAGCATCGTACCCCAGTTAGGCTTCCCTATGAGCCAATCATTATTAATAACTGATAATTTGCAAAAGAATTCTCCCCTCTGATCCCTAATACCCCATTCAGAGTTCAACATTTTTCTTCATTTTTTTTTAAATAAATTTTATTGGGGAACAGTGTGTCTTTCCAGGACCCATCAGTTCCAAGTCAAGTAGTTATTTCAATCCAGTTGTAGAGGGCGTTTTTCCAGGACCCATCAGCTCCAAGTCAAGTAGTTGTCTTCCATTCTAGTTGTGGAGGGCACAGCTCCTTGGCCCATGTGGGAATCAAACCAGCAACCTTGGTGTTATGGGCCTGCGTTCCAACCATCTGAGCTAACCGGCCGCCCCAACGTTTTTCTTCATTTTAATTTTTATTGTTTCTCCAGTTACGACGACTTAGTGCTTTCTCTTTGTTCTTCCGCACCTTGTTCACTGAAATCCTGGCTGGCAGTTCTATCAGCAGAACTACAAAACCAAAAAGGCAACAACATTTTAGAGCTTTCCCTGTGTCACCCAAGGAGGCTAGGGGCAAGGGGAGGGGACATGAAAAAGAAAGTAGGGTGTGGAGCCTTACAAACGAGAGTCCAAATCTTAGCTCTGCCATGATTAGCTGTGTGACTTTGAACAAATCACTCATCTGTAAAATGAGGTCACAATGCCAGCCAATGCAAGAAGGATACTAGGTACTGAATGGAAATGTGATGTCGGACATGTGGTGAGTTCTCAATTCAGAGTCAAAATATCACTGTGATTATTACTAATCACTTGAATAGAATCTAGGCCTTCCACATGGCAATGGACATACCGGAAAATGTCAGAAGCCAGGTAGGTGCTACCTCTAGTGGGCCCTGCCTCTCCAACCAATAGGAATAAGGGAGGAAGAGTGGGGCTTGGAACAGGCAGAGTGTCCTTTTCCCAATGGTAACAATGACAAGAGCTACCGTTTATTGAGCACTTATTCTGGGCTAGGCAGTATTAACATGCATTAATTCATTTCATCCTAGGAGGCACCGTGTCACAGGTAAAGAAGCAATTTGGAGAAGTTAAGTGACTTACCCAAGTTCCCATAATACCAGTAGGTGGACAAACTCAGAATAATAATGGTTTCTATGTAGCAGAAACATATGCGCTCAGGGCTTTTTGGGGTGGTTGTACAGGTTGTTCATGGCACAAGAGAGCCTAGCCAAAGAGACAAGTTGGGGCTGAAACTCAGCCCCTGCTCTGTTTGCCAGGCTCTACCCTGGTGCAAGGCTATGTCTACCTGGAGGCAGGGACACCTTTTTCTAATTTGATAACGATACCACATGAGCTATCAGAGGCCATGTTAATTAATGCTTTATGTAATCCTTAAAACAGCTCTGTGGGCTAGATATTAACAACCCCATTTTGTACATGAGGAAATGCAGGCCTAGAGAGTTCAGGTCCCTTAGATAAATCACTTTGTAAGTGATAAGGCTAGGATTTGAACCTGAGACTGAAGCCCATGCTCTAAACTATTACTGGTGCCATCCCTAAGTGCTCAATAGATGAATAAAGGAAAAATACGTAATTGTTTGACTTTTACCTTTAAATATATGGCGGTTCTAATGAGGCCCCAGGGCTATCAAGTCCCTTAGTAAAGTTGTAGAAACTAAATCGATCAGGGATTTGGGACATTATCTCTCAGTGCTCCAAACTTGTGGCTTTATGCTTGTTAAGTATTTTGGTAGCTCAATTTCCTCTTCTGAAAGTGACGGTAATAAAAAGGAACGTTTCTCATAAAGTGTGTGTGTGCATATGTAATAACCTTCACATCACCTATGGGAGAATGGCACTATCATCACCCTTTTGCTCAGGGAGGTGAGTGACACGCTCAGGGTCACACAGCCAGTAGTGCAGAGTGAAGACCTGAAACCCAGGATCCCAACCCTTAGTCTCATGCTGAGTCTTGGGCTCCTTGCTAAATACCTTAGAACTTTGGGAGTGCCTGCAGCCTGCCTGGTGGCCCAGACATCACACAGTGCACGTACAAGTAGATGGTACTAGAAACTGACGTTAATCACATGACCACACTGAGTTCTTTTAGAAGATGTGGCAGGAAGGAGCACTCTGGGAGGAGTCTTTGCTTGGCGCCTATGCCCGAAAACAAAACCTCTGCCTTTGCAGGAACTAGGGCAACCCAGGTTACAGCCTCGGGTGATGTAAGCTTTTCCAGAGCTGCCTTGGGAGGGGAGAAGGACCTGGGAACATTGCAGGGTGAGGTCCCTCTGACAGGGCTCAGACTTCCTCATCCCTGACTGTGGCCAGGTTCAAAGGAAATACCATCTGTGAAAGCATTTTGCAAAGAGGTGTGGTCCAAATGCAAAGTGCTATTGTTTTCCTCCCATCTGTGAGGAGTGGGGGGGAACACTGAATCCATCTATGCTCAAATGACAGACTTGCCCATCCTCTGATAAAATGCAAGCTGCTGCTCCCACCCCAGCTGGGTGCCTTCCAAAATGAAAACATGCACATGCACTCTCCCCCTGTCTCCAACAACAACCTGCCACGATCTCCAGCTCTGCAGACCCCTCTGCACAGGCTGGTAAGCCCATCCCCCGCTTGCCTCCCCACCACCTCCAACCCCATGCATGAGGCCCCTTCTTGGCTGTGGGTACACTACTCCTTCTGTGGGGTAGGATCTGTGGGTGACAGGGGCGGGAGAAAGACAGACATACAGACCTTCCAGCGATGGCCGCATTCATTGCATAAGACAAAGGTAGTCATGGGCTCATCAGCACTGCGTGTCTGCACCTGAGAGAGGATAGCGCGTGAGGAAGTCACTCCCCTGCTCTAGGATCTGCTATAGCTCCCACTGTCTGTAGGAGTAGGTCCAAATCCCAGAGCGTGACACTATTATTCCCACCCCACCCTGGCAATTCCCTTATCACTGAAAACTCCATAATCTATATTTTCCTTTCCTCTTGCAGGTCCACCAGCTCACTTCAGTATCTCACTGGCTCAGCCTGGCCTTTGTCCTTTCATGCTTGCTGATCCTTCTAAACCGATCTCTCTTCTCTTTCCTGAAGTCTCATCCCGACTTGCCTCTGAACACACCCTATTGGATGTGCCTCAGTGATCTGAATTTGCGTGAGCTGGAAGCACCCTTAGAGATCATCTAGTTCATTCCTTATTTTACAGGTGGAAGGATTGAGGCCCAGAGAGGAAACGAGATTCAAAGATCACCGGGACTATTTCATGTTGTGTTTTCTAGTTTCTCATTCCCTTAACCAAACCATTCAGGTGCAGGGACTGGGTTTCCCACAGCAAGTCCCTGGCGCTTCCAGATTTAACAACTGCTGTTCTAATTTTCTATGGCCACCCCTGGATGGCCATGACATACAGCATGTTGTTACTCTGCTGACACTCAGCTATGAATGATGTCACCTGGGAGTCGGTGGGGCGGTAGATCGTCCCCTGGCTAATGAGTGAGCCCAGCAGTTGGCCAGGAGGACACAGCTTAGGACAGCCTTGTCACTGAAGAGCAATGATACCTGTGGACAGATTAACACTGGGGTTTCCCTGTGCAGAGGAAACTTTGCTAATGGGCGATTTTCTTCTGGTGGGAGGTGAGGCACAGGAAGCACGTCCTTCCGTGGAAATGTGCTTGGAGAAGAGCAGGGGCTTACGCAAACAGCTCCGAATTCCTGAATGGGGATTCTCCAAGGGATGGCTCCTGATGGCTAGGCTGACTGTATATCTGCCGTAGCCACACATCCTGTGGGCAAGGTGCTCTTGCTAAATCTTTCTTGCCAAACAGATGGAAGAATGAATAGAGTTCTAGAATGACTAGATACCAATTAGAATCCAAGAATATTGGTGCCCTAAGGGCATAATATGTGCCACCAAGAGACAGGAGGTGGTTCTCTGGTACTAAGTCTTCCAGAAAAGGGGTCTTCACGGCTTTCCGTGTCTCCCCACACTGAGCAGTGGTCTTCATGCTTAGGACTCTGGGCTAACTCCCTTAGGCTTGCCACACCAAGCTGGCTGTATTTGCAGGCAGAAAGGTCTGGATGTGGATTGATTACTATCTCTGCCACTGGTCATCTCTGCCATCTTGGACAAAGCTGCAAAGCTTGTTTCCTGTCTGGGCCTCAGTTTCCCTGTGTGTAAAATGAGGGAGTTGAGTTTTACCATTGCTAAGTTCCCTTCCAACCATCTGTGACTCTACAGTTCTGTGCCCTGTAAGTCTGGTTTCTCTTATGCTTGCTTCAGAGCCAGTCAGAACATGCTGGCCAAGGCTCACAGACACAAATTTGGGGGCTCGTACATGCAGAACACTTTCCAGAAGCCACAGGTGCAGCATACTGGTGACTAAGACTTGTCCTTCTGTCTGCAGCCCTTTCCCTCGCAGGCTCTTCCCTGGGCTCACTCTCTCTGGTTCTCCACCTCTCTGCCCCTGTAGCCTCCTCGACCATACCTGGTTATAGGAACAGTGCCTCCTCTTGCATTTGGGGCACTGGAGGAGGTCAGTAGTGGTGCCGCATGTCTTGGCCATCTGGTGCTCACGGATAGCCTCCAGGGTCATGGCGTGCCTCCATTTCCGCAGCTCATCACTGGCCATTTCCTGGAGAGAAATGAGTCTGCCCTTCAGGGCTGGGGAGTCCCAGGGGCCCTGCCCCACACCTGGTTTCTAGAGAGCCTGAACAGAGGAGGGGGGAACATGATGGACTTGAGTACAAGAAGCTGGAGGAAGGCCTGGACTTCTGGCCCTGCCCCAGCTGGGAAAAGGCTCTACTCGAAGAGTCCCCATTCTGCTTTTGAGTAGAAGAACAAACTTAGGGGGCTCTGGCTGAGCCAAGTGCAGAAGGGCATGTACAGGAGAGAAGAAGGCACACAGCTTCTGTCCGAGGATCAACGCTTTAGTTTACTGTGTTAAATTCAAGGACTAGGTCCTCAGATCTGGTGCTCACCCTGCGTGCCAGGACCTTGGGAACCTGCTTCAACTTTTCTGCCTGGGCTGACTTGACCATTGACTTATGATATATGATGTTCTCCTTATGCTTCCAGTCTGGACTTGACCCAGGGCCTGTCCAAGCTATGATCACTGCCCAGCCCATTCTGCCTTGTGGGAACCTTGGTCTCGCTATGACTTGCTGCTGCTGTGCCCACCCACGCAGGACCGGAAGCCCCTGCTCACCTGTAAGTGCATCACAGAACATCTTTTTCTTTCAGTTCCTACAGCAGAGTTTCACGTCTTGTGTCAACTCGCTGCAGATACTCAGTTTCTGCGTTACCTAGGTCCTTTCCTTCTTTAATCCTCTCCCTGGCCATTTGACTCTCCTTCAACCTCTGCCAGAGGAGAGCAGAGACGGGGACACTCAAACCAGAAAGAGCTCTAGTTAAGGTTGGTGTGCGGGGAGGAGGATGGCAGAAGCTAATGTGAAAATGAGGATTTGGTCCTGGCTAAACATTTGCATTGTTGCTGTCTATCCTGGATCCTTAAACCATGGAGAACAGTGCTGGCACAAAGGTCAAGTGATTTTAGTGACCACTTAATCCAATGCTGACCATTGTAATGGTTATAACCACTTGAGCTTGAGAAAATGCAGATTCCTATGAATCCAAAACTTGAAGAGCAGGCCCAGGGATATGCATTTTTACGAGTGCCCTTAAGTTATCCTGGTACACACGAATGTTTAAATCTTAGTGTGTTAAATTCTAGGTCTTAACCCGTGGCGGGGGTATATAGAAAAACAAGTCAATCCAAGGCCATATAAGCAAAGAACAGCTGACTTTAAATTGGGGAGATTTTCCAGAGCATAATGCATTCATTCATTCAGAATCTATTGGATGTCAATTTACTGAATGTCTTTAACTGCATTGGTGTGCTGGTAAACCAGCTTTGGCTGTAGGGTTGGCTGATTCGTAGCATTTACCTATTTCCACGGTGTAAATACTACTTCCACCATGACCAATTTCAAGCTCCTCCAGTGATGTAGTTGAAGGGCGAGTCGGGCGAGTCGGGGCTAGATACACAGAATTGTCTCTCTTGAGCTGGTAGGAGCTGCTGCCTCCAGCACACCACTGACTCGAAGCCCTCAGGATTCACATAAGATTTGGTTCCTGTCCCCAGGTAATGCTAATCTGGTGGAGTAGCCAAGCATTTATAAAAAGTTGCAAGATAGAGTATGAAGTACCAAAGCAAAGGGATACAAAGTCCAGGGAAATCCCCAGAGTGTGGGAGCAAACTGCTTCGGGACAGGAGGGGCTCATTAAAGAAGCTGACACCTGAACCAGTCTTGAAAGATAAGCAGGACTTCCCCGAGGGAGATGGCACATTCTAGATAAAGAGAATGGTGGAAGCAAAAGATCACAGGGCAGAATTCCATGTTTGGAGACAGTATTTGGCATGGGTTCAGGGAGAGGAGTGTGGGAGCCATGGCTGGGGGGTCAGATTATGGGAAGAGGGTCTTGTGTGCCACCTAAGAAACAGAGCACAGAAAAAAATCCACCAACCCACCAACCCACATACCTATGTCTGCCCTGACTCATTTAGAAGGTGTCAGCATCAAAGACACATGGAGTAAGTACGGTAATATAGAAAATAAGGCAGGAAATGAGGGGAAAAAAAGGTATGAGATTACATACCTCACATTGTATACACTGTTAGAGAAGGGACCCAAATGTGAATTCGATAAATATTTGTTGAGCACTTATGACATGCCAGACACTGGTCTCAGTGCTGGGTGAACAGCAGACAAAACCCCTCTCCATGTAGGGCTGACAACATGTCCACTCAGCAACTCTAATGGATATCTCAGAATCTACTCCATTCTTTGGTAGAGAGGAACAGGAAGAAGGAAGAGTGAGGGCATCAGGTGGACAAGAAAAGAGACACAAAAAGGGAGTTAGAGGAGATACAGGGATGCAGAGATGGACACCCATCCACATAATCATCCACTGCCTCAGGCTTTCCCTGACAGAAACCCGGTCCTAAGTCACAGCACAGCATGCAGCCCCACCCTAAGCTATTACTTTTCTTACTGAAGCAAAAAATGGTCCTATATTTCTTACAGAAGCATCCTGCAAAAGACGACCCTAGAAAGAGGATCTCCTTGGCATTCGGTGCCTGGGTTGCCAGCAGGTGGGTGGTTGGTAGCTGTCCCTGTGGAGGGCCTGCTAGATTTCTGGCTTGCTCCTCTTGGCCTGGTCAGCCTTGTTTTGGACCTGAGTTGACCAACCTATTCTCTTGCCCTGCTCCAGTGAACAGTCCTTGGGTTAGGGCCTGACTTCACCCACATGGCCAGCTGCTTTGCTGGGACTTTTGGGGCCTGTCTTTGTCCTAATCCAGATCCCCATCTGCAGGGACCTTGCTGGGTTTGCCTCAAACCTGTGTCTACACCTTGCTCTTGGTTCTCCTGGGCCTGGTTTCCCAGCATGGCTCTGGAATTGCTTGTAAGACAGTCTCTTGCTAGCATTCCCACCATAACACACACAGAGAGAGAGACAGAGAGAGAGAGACAGAGAGAGAGACAGAGAGAGAGACAGAGAGAGAAGCAGAGCGACTCCAGAGCCACAGAGTGAGGCACGGAGAGAAATAAACACAAGCCTTGCGTTTCCATAACAGTCACAGCTACTCCTTCCAGGGAAGGAGAATACACTGTGAAACCAACTTGCGATCTGTAACTCTAGGCATATATTGCTATTTGCCGGAAAAGGTCAGATATTTGAAATGAAGGAGAAAGGTAACCCTGGTCCACCTGTGCCAAGTTCCCTATTTTATCCTAAAGCCAAGGATTTTATCAGTCTTATTTTGGGTATTTGAGAAAAGCAGTGAACCCACCCCTCAGAAAAACATACATGCACACCACACCCCCCCACACCTACACACACCACATACACTAAAATATACACACACGTCACACACACATACTAAACACCAAACATACACCACACACACAACCACCAACACCCAGAGGCACACTCTTGCCAGACAGACAGTTTCAGAGGATACCAGACACCCTGGGAACACCCAGACTCCAGAAGTCATGCATTTTCCCTCCCCACTCTGGGCCACTTCCTTTAGCAGTGCCCATCTCCAGGTGCTTGTGGGGAATCCCTCAGTTAACTCTGGCAGTAAGGAGCCGCTGAGGGTGTACAAAATGTCTTTCCAAGATGTACTCTGAAATAAACAGCTCTCCGTTCAAATCCTCATCTGTCACTTACAAGTTGTGGGTGGCCTCAGTTTTCTCATCCATAAAACAAGGACAATATTTCCTCTTTTATAGCATTGTGCTGAGGGTTACACGAAGTGGTTGGTGAATGGGCCTATTATTTACTAATTCTGGGGAAGGCTTTTCATGTATTAACCTCCTAAACCCTTCACATATATTAACTCATTCAATCCTTCATGAGATACCTATTGTTATTTCCATTTTACAGATGAGAAAACCGAGGCACAGAGATGTTCAGGAGCTTGTCTAAGATCACACAGCTAAGTGGCAGAGGCAGAATACAAAGTCAGACAGTCTGGCCCAGCTCCCAAGCTTCTAACCACTATACTATGCTTCCTCAAACAGGCTTGTTCCCTTTTCCTTCCCTTACTGACCGCTTCAAGCTGGGTCGATCCTTCCTTCCTATAAGTCCCCATCATGGCTCTACCATGGCACTTCCCACCTCTATTTTATACATATCTGTAAGCATGTCTCTCTCCCTACCTTGGACTGTGATCCATGGAGACAGGGACTCCTGTTCTGGCTTGGGCCCAGAGCTGAGTAGCGGGACATGGAACTGAACAAAGCAGAAGAGGGAGGCAGACAACAAAGCAGTGAAGAGTGGGTGCTCTGAGGCCACACAACCTGCCTCCTGGCTTCATTTTCTAGCTGTGTGCATAGGCAAATCAGTTAACTCCTCTGAGCCTCAGTGTCCTCATCTGTACAATGGGAATAATAAACATCTCTACCTCAGTTGGTGTGAAGATAAAACTAGCCAGTGCACCTAAAGTGCTTAGCACAGTGCTTAGTACATATCAGCTGTGTTCACTATCCCGCTGGTCCAGAGGCCCTGAGTGATGGGGAGTCTGAGGTCTGGCTGCAAGAGCCCCTGGCTCGTCTTCATGGAGGCACAAGCCACTGCCTCCCAGCCCACCATACAGAGGTCCCAGACCTCGCCCTCACCTCTGCTGTCATCTTGGCAATGACCCCGGTGGAGATGGTCCCACTGAGCACTTTCTGCCGCAGGCCAGGGTTCTTGGGGTCCTTGAGGTTGCTGAGGCGGCTGCGCACGCGGTTCCGGTACTTGATGTCTGTGCTCTTGAGCTCCTGGTAGATATGTGACACAGTCAAGGGCCAGCCAGCAACTCGTGGAGGGGCACAGGATGGGGAATCTCACCCTGAGGCCCAAAGAGCCCCAGGGCCATCTCTTCCTGTCCTTGGACTTGGACAGGGGTCGGGAACTTTTGTGACTTCTGACTCCCTAAGCATGGATCTCACTTGCATATTTGGGGTCAGGCATGTATCAGGGACAGAAAACAGCCTCCAAGGTGAGATCAGGTCACAGCAAGCACTGTGGTGTCATAGACCCCGGGTTTGTCAGAGCCTCTTGTGTGACCTCAGGCGAGTCACATGACCCCTTTGTGCCTCAGTTTCCTTATTTATAAAATATAGGGCTGTTATGAGGATTCAGTGAGCTAAGCTGCATGATGCACTAGTGTGGTGTCTGGGACATATCAAGTACTCAACATTTAGAGTCTGTTAAGATGGTACTGATGAAGAATCACCTTTAGCTACCTGGAGGTTGTGAGTCCAGCTAGCAGAGGAAAACCTAAGATAAGAAGCCACATGTTTAAGGCACTAAAAAGTATTGTAATAAAGAAATCGTGGGGGCGACAAGTTAGCTCAGTTGGTCAGAGCGCAGTGCTCAAAACACCAAGGTTGCCGGTTTGATCCTGACATGGGCCACTGAGCTGCGCCCTCCACAACTAGATTAAAACTACTGGATTTGGAGCTGGTGGGTCCTGGAAAAACTGTTCCCCAATAATAAAAAGAAAGAAAGAAATCGCTGAGTTTTGTTTAATCTGGTGCTCCCAATTCTCTGGTAATACCCCCTTTTCTCTAGTAATACTTATTACCATCCCCTGGCACCTACTTTGGGAATTGCTGATCAGACTTATGTTTCTCATTAATAGATGAGGAAGCTGAGGCTTAGAAAGGGTGCGGGCCTTTGCTCAAGGTCACAGGGCAAATTCCCGGCAGAGACAGGGCTGGAAGCCAGACCCCTCCACTAACGGTAATGCGCTCTCCACTCACCCAGCAGGAAGTCACCCCTGGCCACGGACCACAGTGAGTTCTCTGTCCAGATGCTGCATCCCAGACAGGCCTCCCACCCCCTCCTCCCTTCTGCATCCCTAGAGGAGCTCAGGGAACACAGCCACATTTTCTTGGTCTCCTAAGCCAAGCAGAATCAGGAAGACGAAGCCTTTGCTGGGGGAAGCCATATATGCGAGAAAGAGACTGTGGGGAATGTGGAAAAATGGAAATAGCTGACTTGCTAGAAGTGGTGGGAGGGAAGGTAGCATTATTTATTTTATTTGTGTTACTGTGGTTTTAATGTTGTTTGTGCAATACAAATGTAAAAAGAAATATGCCATAATATGCATTTGAAAGGCAACACATTTGTTTAAAAATCTGTGTTTGGGGTTCCTGAAGGTGTATGTCTGCTTGATCTCTGTGGGGACAGGAGGGCTGGCAATACTTCCATCAGCCTCCTCCCGACTCTGTCTCCATTTCCTGAGATCACAGGGGAGGACGAGAGGTGGAACACAGAGCTGGGGGTCACTGACCATTCAGAGGAGCACATGCTAGCCACCCCACCCCCACCCCCCAACCTCCCAAGCTGCCATGTCACTCCAAAGGAAACTGAGCTTTTTTAGAACACAGAGCATTCAAGCCCCCAAACTTATCCTCCCCCTGGCCTCCTGCCATCTGAGAACAAAGAGCTAAAAGGTTGATGCAGCTCTGACTTTCTCTCCTTCAGAAGAAGGACACGCAGTGTAGGATGAAAACGAAGAGGAAAGGCCAGGAGGGGGAAAAAGTACTGGATCGGGGCCAGCCGAGTGGTTCAGTTGATTAACAGCATGAACTCTGAGCAACAGGGTCGTCAGTTCAATTCCCACATGGGCCAGTGAACTGCACCCAAGCTGAGCTGTAGCTGAGCTGCCAACAGGTGTCAGGGTAGCTCAGCTGGTGAGAGCACGTGCTCCTAACAACAAGTTTGCCAGTTTGACTCCCACATGGGATGGTGGGCTATGCCCACCCACAACTAAAATTGAACATAGCACCCTGGGCTGAGCAGCCACGAGCTGCCGATGGGCGGCTGGATGGCGACTGGACTTGGAGCTGAGCTAGCTGCACCCTCCACAACTAAAATTGAAGGACAACAACTTGGCTGTTCCCCTTCCCCAATTCCCTAATAAAATCTTTATATATAGATATAAAAAAGTACTGGATCATTCACCTTTGTTTCAAACTGGGCTTGAAGGTGGAAGGGACCAGCTTGGAGGGATGAGTGTTCCAGAGAAAACTAAGATGAATCTCATGCTCTCTGTTCTGAATTAATTAGAAGTTGTGAAAATGTACTTGGTGAGGTGCTGGATAGCTCAAGATATGCTGGTTAATAATTAAATGATGGTGGAGAGAAAATCCCAGAAAATATACTGGAGGATATTAGGGTGGGCCTCTGCAGGCGATGGAAGCAGGTAAATTTATTGTCTGCAGATTGGCTCCTGCCACTCTCCAACCCCAGTTGAGCTCCCTAAGTAGAGCCAAAGAGGCTCAAAAGGGTCACTCACACCTCAGTGTGACACTCTGACCCCCTCTCTCCATGCCTCTTTGACATGCAAAGCTTTGTTTCCAGTAAAAGAAATTCTAGCATTCACTGCAGGGGGGAAACACAGTGCTGAGGATTTTTTTCTCCCAAGACAAAAATATTTTGTGCAATGGGCCCATATCACACACGTGGTCACCTCCTCTGTCTACACAAGGCCCCTTTCAGATAGTGGGAGAGCGGGGCATATAAATAGCTCAGGACATGGAATCCAAAGACCAAGGTTTTCAGTCCAGCTCTGACACCCAGTAGTTCCTAAGCCTCAGTTTCCTCATCTGTGAAGTGGAAACAACAGCCCTTGCCTTACAGAGATTGTTGTGAGAACTAACACAGGTAGGAAAAGTCGACCGCCCATTACAATGCCTGGTACATATTGGGTAGTAAAAAAATGGGAGCTGTTATCTTCAGAGACTGGAAGATGGGAAAAGGCTGAACATGAGATATGCTGTCCTCTCTATCTACTTGACTACTTGACGTCACAACCTAGGCACATTATGACACAGCCTATTCTGGCACAGCAGTTGAGCCATCAGGTTCTGGCATCACACTTTCTGGGTTCAAATCCAACTATGCCATTACTATTTGCTGTGTGAGCTTTGGCAAGTGACTTAACCTCTCTGAGCCTGAGTTACTTTACCTGTAAAATGGGATTAATGAGGGGAAACTACCTCGTGGATTGTTTTCAACATTGAATGAGGTAAGGTGCTGCTCATAAACAGCCTACATGAGGCCGACAGGTGCAAGATTTAATAAGCGTTAGCTAGAATTAAGAACTCGGATTCTAGGGCAGAGCAGAAGCTGTCCCTGGAGGTCTTTGCCTCCCTGTTCACTGTCCTGGGTCCCCTGCACTTGGGGGACCTGCGGCTGGACAGTCCAGGCACCACAGTCCCGGTACAGCTCAAGGATATGATCTTCAATTTCTGATGCCATCTTGTCACAGTTAACTCCATAGTCCTTGTACTCATCTAAAAAAAATTTGGGAAACACAGGCATCAGCCAGACATGACCTTGGCAGTGAAGCCTGCTTGTACCAGGGCCTATAGCATCCTGTACTACTCCCATGGCACTGAGAAAGACCACATCTCATTTGCCCTTGGGAAGCCCTTCCCTCCCTGGCCCAGGCCCTCTCACCATCTGTCTTCAAGGCCGCTGACAGCATCTCCACACACTTGTCCCGGACAGAGTCCCCTGTGAGATAGCAGGGCTCCAGGAGGCAGACGGAGGGGACAAAGGTGGGGCTTGAGGGGCTGCCGGGTGTTTTGGGGGTCTCCACTTTCGATTTGCTGCTGTTTGATCTGAGAATGACAATCAGTAATCGACATGTTGACATTAAGCAAATAAAGCATATATTGAGCAACATTCTAGATGTTTTTAGAGACGATCTCCTTTAATCCTCTTAACAACCCCAGGAGGTTGGTATTCCTATCTCCATTTTAGCACTGTCTTTTAAAGCGCATTTTAGAGAGAGATGTATTTAAAGATGCATTTTAAATAATTTGACTCAGGTCACACATCTGGAAACCAGTAGAACCAGAGTTAAAACCCAGGCAGTTGAAGTCCGGTATCCACGCTCTTAACCAACCACTGTATCCTACTGGTTACAGAGCAGTGTAACAACGCTAAAGACTCGACTCTGATCCATCGGGCACTGTGCTGGCTGCGCTCTCTTTATGCTCTCATTGAACCATTTATTCACTCATTCAATAAATGTTTATCAGGCCACGTAGTCTCCAGGTACTACTGTGCTAAGAACAAGGGATAAGGCAGACAAGTCAGAAAACATCCCTCCCTCAAGAAGCTGACAGTTGAGCGAATACTGAATGTCCCACCATTTAAGAGGGCTGGCTTTTACCACGTGCCAGCAACTGTGCCAAGCACTTTCTAATTTAATCTTCACAGCAGTCCTAGGAGGTAAATACTGTTATCATTCCCATTTGCAAATGAGGAAACAAACCTAGAGTTACACCGCTGAGATTTGAACTCAGGTCTGTCTGATTCCAATGCTTATGCTCTTAATTCCTATGATACACTCACTGCCAATGAACGATCCCATTTTGGTTTTGACTTTAAAAAGACAAACAAACAGAAAAACATAGATGTATATATAAGCACAGATGACTGGAGGGATAATCGTGTGTCTTGGTCTACCTGGGTTGCCATCATAAAATACAAGATTGGGTTGCTTAAACAACAGAAATTTATTTCTCACAGTTCAAGGTGCTGGTCAGTTTGATTTCTGGTGAGACTTCTCCTTCCTGGCCTGAGATGACCACCTTCTCACTGTATTCTCACGTAGAGAACAAGTGAGCTGTCAGCTGTCTCTTCTTATAAAGACCCTACTCCTATTGGATCAGGGCCCCGCACACTTATGACCTCACTTAACCTTAATTACCTCCAAAAAGGCCCTACCGCCAAATACACATTGGGAGTTGGGGCTTCAACATATGAATTTGGGGAGGGGAGTCACAAACATTCAGACCATAACACCATATTACTAGCAATTATCTATCTGAGATGGGATTATAGGAGATTTTTTTTTCAAAGATTTTTATTGGGGAATTGGGGGGATGGGAACAGCGCTGGGGAATTGGGGGAAGGGGAACAGACAAGTTGCTGTCGTTTTGTTCTTCAGTCTAGTTGTGGAGGATGGTGCTTCACTGGCCCAAGTTGGCACCATCACTGCGCTCTTCCCGGGCGAGGCAGATCAGTCGCCGGCTTCTGGCCAGCCGCTCACTGTGGCTGCGGTGGCTGCTGGCTACACACGGTAGCCCAAGGCAACCCACTGCCACAGGGGCTGCAGCCTACACCATCGCCAGTGACTCACGGCAGCCCAGCTCCAGGTTGAGCTGTTGTTCAGCATCTTAGCTGTGGAAGACAGTGTCACTGGCCCTCATATGTGGGATCCGAACCAGGGCCCTCTGGCATCCCAAGCCAGTTCTTAACCATCGCGCCACTCAGCCGGCCCTACATATTTTCTTAATCTTCTATGAAGAATATATCTACTTTTATAATGAGAAACACATTTTTTTTATTTAACATTTGACAATTATGAGTGGCAACTCTGTGCTGATGGCTCAGATAGGTTTCCTGTCTTTCTGTTCTCAAGGAGCTGCCAGCAAAAGGTGGAAGCAACCCAAGTGTCCACTGATAGATGACTGGATAAACAAAATGCGGTAGATACATATAATGGAATATTATTCAGCCATAAAAGGGAGTAAAATTCTGAAACATGCTACAACATAGATGAACTTAGAAGACATTATGATAAGTGAAATAAGCCAGATACAAAAGGGCAAATGTTGTATGATTCGGCTTGTATGAGACACCTACAGTAGTCAGGGTCATAGAGAAAGTCGAATAGTGGTTGCCAGGAGCTGAGGGAGAGGAAACCGAAAGTTAGTGTTTAATAGATACAGAGTTTCAGTTTGGGAAGATGGAGGGGTTCTGGAGATAGATAGTGGTGATGGTTGTATAATAATAATGTGAATGTAGGGCGGGCCGAGTGGCGCATTGGTTAAGAGCTGGCTTGGGACGCCAGCTCTGAGCTGCAGGGCCCCAGTTCGGATCACACATGAGGGCCAGTGACACTGCCCTCTGCAGCTAAGATGGTGAACAACAGCTGGACCTGGAGCTGGGCTGCCGTGAGTCGCTGGCGACGGCATAGGCTGCAGTGGGGCTGCAGTGGGGCTGCAGTGGGCTGCCGTAAAGCTACCATGAGTGGCTGGCAGCTGGCGTGAGCTGCCAAGAGCTGCTGTGAGCGGCTGTCCAGTGGCCGGCGACCCATCTGCCTGACCCGGGAAGAGCACAATGATCACAATACCAACATGGGCCAGTGAAACGACATCCTCCACAACTAGACTGTAGAAAAAAAGGACAGCAACTTGTCTGTTCTCCTTCCCCGATTCCCCAGCGCTGTTCCCCTACCCCAATTCTCCAATAAAATCTTAAATAATAATAATAATAATAATAACGTGAATGTACTTACTACCACTGAACTGTACACTTAAAAGTGGTTAAAATGGATAAATTTTATGTTATATATATTTTACCACAATAAAAAAATCCTATTGGGTTGTCGGAAAAGTCATGACGTATTTTTTCTGTTTTTCGTTGCAAAAATGCGTCATGTCTTTTGCTTATACATATTTTCTTAATCTTCTATGAAGAATATATCTACTTTTATAATGAGAAACACGTTTTTTTTTTATTTAACATTTGACAATTATGAGTGGCAATTCTGTGCTGATGGCTCAGACAGGTTTCCTCATGCCTCCTAGGAAAAACTGACTCATCAGAGTTAGAGAAATCAGGGTCCCCTCCTCCACTCCAGGGTCTTACCACACTGAACCCTTGTGGAAGGTCCCAAAAGGCAGCTGCGTTTCCTACCTCCAGGGGGCGCCATTCACATTGTCACCTGGGTACTTCGTGGAGTGTATACCTCACAGCAGGGGCAGCTGCATCAGGCAGCTCTGGAGCTATAGATGCACTTCTTCTGCTCAGGAAGATGATGTTGGGCTTCTGAAAAGTCAAGCCCAGGGTGTTGTGTCTGAGAGTGAGGTTGACTGAGTAGCCCAGGCTTCCCAGTGTTAAAAATCTGCGGTTGATGCCACGAGCTGCCGATGGGCAGCCAGACAGCGACTGGCGCCCTTTCCAACTAAGATTGAAGAACAACAACTTGGCTGATCCCCCTCCCCAATTCCCCAACACTGTTCCCCTCCCCCAATTCCCCAATTAAAAAAAAAAATCTGGGGCTGCCAGAGAATCCCATCCAACATCCGGCTGAGCACGCTTCAGCGTGGATCCTGCTGGCGAACTTCTCGTCCCCAATCCTTGATGTTTGGCCTACCTTGGATCCCTTTTGTCACCACAGATATCCTTGGATTTTTGTGTGCTCTGGAGCTTTGAGGTTCCTCAAAGGTATCTCAATACTGCCATAAGAGTGGAGTGGGCTGGGGGGCGGGGAGGGGGGAAGAAGGCTCTGCTCGTATCAAGTTTACATTTTGAATTTCCAAAACTTTTGTCCAAAGAGCTCCCTAGCTTGCTTGCATGTATTTATTTATTTATTTATTTATTTATTTTTACTGCCATCTGAACCTTACTGTTCTAGACTAACTTACCCTGGACTCTACCCAACCCTGCCTGACAACTGGGTGACCTGGCAGCGGGGCACTGGGATGGAGGTGCTGTGATACAACCAGCTCTCCCCTGGAGTCAGATTTCAGCAGGAGAGAAAGGTGTGGGTGAGGGGCGGCTGGGAAGAGTATAAACTCGTCTAGAGGCTGCCTGCCACCAAAACGAGTCTCCCTGCACCCAACCCTTGGTCCCAGCCGCTGGGCTCTAACCTGCACAATCATATAAAGCTCTGAATCCGGTCTCCCAGCATCCGCTTGCTCCCCCCTACCCCCACCCCCAGTCTATTTGCCACACACCAGCGTGGCGGGGGTGGGAGCTAATCCCATTGCTTCCCAGCTTCTGACCCTCTACAGCTTCCAGTTATTTTCAGCATAAAGTCAAACTCCCCACTGTGGCTTCCCAGCCCCTCCACATCTGGCCCCTACCTCCCCTCTCACCACATCTCATGCCATGCTCCACTCACTGTTCACCGAAGCCCCCACTGCCCTGCTGCTTTTTGTTCCTTAACACACCTGTCCTCCCACCACAGTGCCTTTGCACAGTTGGCCTCTCCTCCTGGAAGGCTCTGCCTCCTCCAGATTTTCCTATGACTGGTTCTTTCCACCAGTCAGGCCTCGGCTCAAATATCACATCCTCAGGGAGGCCTTCCCTGACCACCCCAGTAGCACATGACCTAATTTCTTGCATTCATAGCACTTAATCCAAGTCTATAATTAACTTGTTTATGTGTTTATAAACATTGTCTGCCTCCATCTCCAGATTACAGGTTCCACAGTAGAGCGACTCTATTGGCTGGTTCACCAGTCTTCTAGCACCTGTGATAGTGCTCTAGGTAAGTACTTGATGAATCTCTGTTGATGAATGAATACAGGATAAGTTGAGGGAGCTGGTTACAAAGAGTTGAAAGATACATCCAGGGGTCCTAGACACAGCTGAGTTACGTGGGGGACAGATCCTCTTTTTAAGGCCAGTGGCCCCACTCCCTGGGCTTTATAGAAGAAGAATCTCTCTCTGAAGCAGTGTTTGTTGACTACGACCTGGGCCAACCCATCTCTACGACTGTGATGGGGCCCCAGATTCTTCCAGATGCTGCCTCTCACTGGCCTGTGTGCCCCATCACCACATCCTCAATGTCTAGGACTCAGCAGTGGGGAACCACTGGAAAGCCTGAGGATGCTGCTTGGATGAAGGCATAATAGCAAACAACAATAATACCAATAATTGTCATTTAGGGAATGCCTACACGGAAGTGATGTATTTATTAAGAACCCAAGCTCCAGAGCCAAACTCCCAGGTTCAAGGTTCAAGTTATGTGACCTTGGGCAAATACCTTCACCTCTAAGTGCCTCAGTTTTCTCACATGTACAATGGGGATAACAATAGTACCCACAGAGTTTTGAGACGATTAAAGCACCTAAAAGAATTCTAGTAAGGAAGTATTAGGCAATTTACACAGATTACCATACATTAATTGAGAGTATTATCACTAAGCATTGTGCACATGTTGAGCACTTACAGGGGCTGGGAACAGTGCTAAGCATTTCATTACCTCATTTGATCCTCACGATAACATTGAAAGGGGGGGTCATCATTATCCCCATCTTACAGATCAGTAGACTGAGGCTCAGAGAACTGACTTCTCCAAGGTCATCCACCTAGCAAATGGCAGAGTCAGACTACAAACCTACATCTGCCTGCCTTTCAAATTCTTTTCAACACATCTCACCGTGTCTCTAAAAGTCAGAGTTTTCCAGAGTCTCCTTACCCGGGCGAGGCTAAACTGCTTGTTGCATTTTTTTCCCCACCTTCCTGGCAGGGCACTCTCAGCCCAGGTCCCACCTCTTGGCTAGGAGCTGGCTGGCTGCCATTCGTTTCTAGGTGGCATTTCGGGCAGCCACGCTCATTTTGCCTTCAATGCATAAAACTGGGGACTGGGTCAAATTGCAGAGAGGGTATCACTGGCCAGGGTGGAGGTGGGGAGTTGGATTGATCACAGCTCCCTTGTTCTCCCCGGATGTGCCAGCACCAGCACCAGCCTGATACCACTAAACGCTTAGAAAATCCTCCCAGTCCAAGTCAGAGCACAAGCACCGGGAGGCCCGGCTTGCTGCTCCTGCGCGCCACCTCGAGGACATTTAAATTACTGCACCGCCAAGCACGCGTAACTGCTAGGTGAAAACAAATCAACCAATTCCCACAGTCGGGGCCCTAGGACAGCTGCTAAAGTGCAATCTTCTTTAAAAAGGCCAAAAAAAAAAAAAGTGCAACCTTCTTCTCTAATACAGCGGTGTCCTTCGTAATCTGCTCCCTTGCACTCCAGCTCCAGTTCCCAGGGCACCATGCTCATTCACACTGCCACACCTTTGCATGTGCCATTCATTCCCTCTGTCTGGGATGCCCTCTCTTGGCTTGTCTACCAGGAAAACTCCTATTCATCTGTCAATTCTCAGCACAAATACTCTCTCTTCCATGAAGTCTCCTTTGACTTCTCAAGTCATAATGAGACATTCTTCCTATGTTCCCATTGTGTGTTATATCTTCGAAAACCAGTATTTTGGTGTCTGCTTCTACACCAACGTAATTAGCTGTATGAAAGCAGAGATCATGAATTTAAACCTTTGCCTGGCCTTAGAGGTTGCAAACTGGAGGGCTACAAATAGATTTTGATTGCCCCACTGTGTCTTAGAAAAATATGAATTATGTTGCCAATGTTTAACATTGGGAGTTTCGTATGAAAATCTAGATGTTCGGTTTTCCTTAAAAAGCTAGAAGACATGGTACAGTGGGCCCGCATTTCCATAAAGCAATAAGCAGCTGGGGCTAGGTAGTGGGTGCCCTCTACAGACGGGCAGGTACTTTCCATTTTGCCATGGTGTCCACTATTCACCCAGTGTGTGCACATGCCTTTGACCCCTGGAGGATGTTGTTTGCAAGGAGGTGCTCAACAAATGTGTTTATCGAATGAATGAATGAATTAATTAATTAATTAATGGGAAAGATGAGATAGAGAGGCAGAGAGTGCAGGAAACAGCCTGGGTAGTGGATAAAGTAGATTTACAAGACTTGCTTCTGTCCCTTTCGGTTGCCCACCCCCAATACTAAACCAGCAGGAAATGGCACAACTGCTGGAAGGACAAACAGTCTGCTTGACTGACCTTCAGAAAAAGAATGCACTACGAGAGGGAGCCAGGAGACTTCAAGGCCATAGGCGAAGTCAGGAGAGGAGCCTAGGGGTATAAATCCTTCCACAAATGTTGAATGTTTATATTATAGCTCCAAACCCAGAACTGGATTAGTGGTCAGTGTTTCATTTGGGGATAGGTCCATCCTTTATGCAGGGCTGCCCTTCACATTCCAGGACATTTAGCGTCTCTGACCCTTGCCTACTAAATGCAGTAGTGCTCCTCCCCTACTCCTGTCACAGACTGAATATTTGTGTCTCCCTCCAAATCCACACGTTGAAGCCCTAACCACCAATGTGATAGTATTTGAAGATGAAGACTTTCAGAGGTAATTAGGTTTAGATGAGGGTGGGGCCCCATGATGGGATTATTGTCCTTATAAGAATTGGCTGGCACCCTGATCTTCGACTTCCCCGCCTTCAGAACTGTGAGAAATAAATGTCTGTTATTTAAGCCATGCAGTCCATGATATTTTGTTATAGCATCCTAAGCTAAGATACCCCCCAAGTCACAGTGATAACCAAAAATGCCTCCACAAATTTCTAAATGACCCTCTGTTGAGAACCACTGGTCTAGAACCAGGATGACGCTGAGCCCTCCATTCCTAGGCCTCATGCATGGCAGACATTGCTAATTGATCACAGAACTCTTTTCTTCTGAGGCAGGATGCACCCTCTGCAAGCAGCACTCTGAGAGCCTCCACTCATCAGTTGGAGCTGGCACTTAGCTGCCATGTTGAAATTGGACAATACAGTAGCCCCATCAACATCTCAGGCCTTTTTAAATCTTCATTAAGCATTAAACAACCTAATTTTTGTCTCTTCTTTTCTTTCCAGTGGCAGTCTTCCTGGTATATTAAACCTAAGACAGCTGTGCAGCTCCCACCCATACTCGCCTACAAGCCAGCACCCTTACTCTCCCACCTGGTTGCCCCAGCATGCAATATGGCTCCTTGAACCCTAATAATTTGCCTTGATCCACCTCTAAGCCACTTCCTGGCCTGTCCTGCTCTCCTCTGGTCTTGCCTCCCCTGCACTGACCTCTGACCTCCCTCCTGGACCACAATTCACACTCACTCCTTTATCCACAATCTCTCCTTAGTGATCTCATCCAGCTTCAAATGCTAGCTACCCACTAATGACTCTGAAATTTATATTTCTGGCCCAGACTTTCTTCCTAAATCTCAGCCTGGTATAACCAAACTGCTTATTTCATTTCTTCACCTGAATGATGAGTACACCCCTCAAATCCAAAATGTCAAAACCCAAACTCAGGCTCTCCTGCCGTAGCCTGATTTACACAGTCTTCCCCCTACCAATTAAGGGAAACCCCATTCTTGCACATGCTTGAGTGGAAAGTCTTGGAGTTACCTTGACTCTTCTTTTTCTCTCATACCCCACGTTCAATCTGTTAGAAAATCCTGTCAGCTCTCCCTTCAAAATATATCTGGAACCCACCACTTATCCCCACCTCCGCTGCTGCCACCCGGGACACCATCATATGTTGCCTGAATTATCTAAGAGCCTCCTGGCTGGCCTGCTGCCCCAATATATCTATTCTGGGCACAGCGGCCGGAGGGTTCCTGATAAATTCGGTCATGTAATTCTTGCACTTAATACCCTCCAATGGCCCCTGTTTCAATTCCAACTCCTCCCTCACGTATTCGCTCCAGCCCCACAGGCCACCCCCTAGCTCCTTGGTTTGGAATGACCCCAAGGTCTGCATGGCTAATTCCCTCATCTCTTTCAAACTTTTGCTCAAAGGTCACCTCCTTGATGAGTGCTCTTCTGACCACCCAGATGACCATTTATTTCCCAATACCCCTGACTCTGCTCTACTGTTTTCCATAGCACTTGTCACCTTCTAATCCTCTGTATAATTTACTTATATGTATTGCTATCCCCTCCCCTCCCCCCTCCCCATTAGCATATAGGCCTCATGGCTGCAGAGATTTTTGGTTTTGTGCACCTAGAACAGTTCCTGGCATATAGTAAGCCCTCAATAAATATTTGATGATGAATGAATGACTTGATGATTTATGCTACTATGGGATAGATACCCTAACCATTTCAGTCCAGAACCAGAGATTCCACTCCAGATACAGACTCATAAGACACCTGTCCTCACTGGGTTCAGTTTGACCCTTGAGAATGTTCCCCAGACAGTGATGGGGCAACAGTGATGGGTGAGCCACCCAAGTGAAGGAGCCACAGGTCTGATTCAGGGGCCCCCTCAGTCTTACTGTGTGGGTCCTAGAATTCAGAGGCAACATACCGTATGAAGTTTCCCTCCTTCCCCCGCCTCGGGCCTCCTCCATTAAAGTAGAAAAAGGGACACATGCTGAACAGGACCTCTGGGGGGAAGTCCGTGGCTTCCCTTACCTTTCCATCGATGGACTTTTTGGAGAGGAAGTAGCTGAAGACTTGGAGTCCACAGAATCTCTCCTGAAAGAAGAGAAATTGGAGATGAGACTGTCTTGTAGGGTTCACATAAGTACTGATCTAGACAGATCAGAGACTGGGGAGAAAGCATCCTGGAGCCAGGCCTGCTGGGCTGAAGATGGCAGAACACACCTGGACCACAGCTGCCTGGGAGAGGAAGTTCCAGCCAATGCTGGCTGGTCACTCTCACCTACCCTCCATCAAATGAGGCAACACAATGGTGCATGCCATTCTCCCTCTCTGCTGCCTCCCCTGTGTTAAAGCTGGGGTGAAGGTGGGGAGCCAGATGAGTCTGGACCACAGGGTCATTAGGGCTGACCCTAAAGCTGCCTTGCCCACTGTCTCCCAGACCACCTGGAGGATGAGGTGGAATAGAATATGAAGCTCTTCTTAATTATAACCACACATATGTTTTTGGTTTTTAAAAAATAGCTTCATTTTTTTTCTTATTTTAAATATATATTATTACTGGAAAAATTAGAAAGAAATTTGCAGAGAAAGAAGAAAAGAGAAAAAAAAAACCTCTCAATCCTATCTCTCAGAAATAATCACCATTACCCATCACCCCAGTGTATATCCTTCTCATCTTTTCTCCTATCCATACACATAAAATGCACTTTTTTAATTTTTAGAAAAATGGGATCATAATAAGAAAGTACACAGCTTCTCTTAATACTCAGTGAACATTTTCCCATGTCATTAAATATTCTTCTATTCTACAGTGCTTCTCCATGGCAGCCCGACTGGCATTTTGAACACAATATAAATGGTTCTTCAATGTGTGGGGCTATTCTGTGCATTGCAGGGATAGTAGCGTGCAGCATTCTCTCTGCCCCACAGTTATGTTTACAACCCCAAATGGGAGTAGTGTGGTGAAAGCCTCTCTCCTGGTAAAGAATCACTCCTCTTACAGCGTCATTTCCTAAAGCGTTTCCCACAGAATGCTTATTGTATAAAATTATAATAAACATTTGCTTAAAAAGCATTCAGAGGAACAAATGTTTCAGAAACGCCAGCTGAAAATGTTACACGCAGAATCCATCACCTTTAAGTTTAATCTGATTAATTCCTTAAAATGAATTCCTTGCAGTGGATTTTCACCGGGTGAAAGGTATACACATTAAAAATGTTGATACATCATGGATGATATTGTCCATATGATCTAGTATTATTTAGTACCATCCCTTACCTATTAGGTGAACAATGTAGGACCCCTCCCCCACCCCAAAGAATTAAGTGATCTGTCTTGTCACAGAGGGAATAGGTAGGACTTACTTACACATCCACGAAGGCTTTTATCGACCGTGATGGATAAGGTTTTGGGGCCCTCTATGAAAGTCATGCCACTTGGGGCACCCTGGCTGATGCGGGGAAAGGGGAATGGGTATGAAGTTGAGACAAACAACTGTTTTATTCTTCTCAGAAGAGGTCTGGGGTTCTGACAGACAACATTGGAAGCCCACTCTGTCACATAACGGTTGTGGGATCCTAGGAAAGCCCCTGCTCCCCAACCTTCAGCTTCCTCATCGCTAAATGGGAAGTTTGAATCAAGAGCCAACACGGCACTTTTCCTTCTCTGTGGGCGAGTAAGTTCCTAGCACCATTTTCCTGCAACCCTGACAAAGGTTCAATGTCAGCTGCATTACTAGGCAACACTGCATATAGTGCAAATGAGCACTGATGGGTAAATTACGTCAAGGGGCTATGAATGAACTATAAATCATTAGTGGAAGACCACAGCTTTTGGGCTTCCCTGAGTACAGGGATTCTTGTAACTGGTCAATGCCCTTGCTAGGATCCTGGAAACTTTGTCTATAGGACTGTTATAAGATTTGGGACATGGGCTTCTAAGTCAGGGAGTTCCCACCTATTGTGGTCTCATTTTCCTGCACCTGGGCTGTTACCTGGGGCGGGGAGGGGGACAGGGAATAGCTCTGGATGCTGTGTGGTCCCCTATGAGAACGCTTGCTGATGAGAAAGGCCTGAGACTGTCCTGTTGGCACACAGCACTTTCTGTCCCTGCATCCTTCTAGCTGAAGCCAGTGCTAGGGACGGCTTATTTGGGTCTTGTGAGTCCGTCTGGTTGAGCTCCAGAGGGGACCCTATAGGAGATAATAACAATAACCGCTTCCTGGGTTGTGAGGATGAAGTGAAGTTATATATAAACAGGACTGCAGGCAGACAACATGACAAGTGTCAGCCCCCATCTCTCCTTCCCAGGAAAAAAAAACAAAACCTGTCTTTGGGCTCTTCCCCTCGTTTCTTTCTTGGTGGAGAAGGGCCTGCCTCTGGCTTGCAATTGGAACAGTCAAGTCCTTTTTCTTTCTTCTTTGCTTTTTTTCTTTCCTCTCCTTTATCTCCTTTGGAGGATCCAGGGGAGTCTGAAAACAAAAGGGTGGCAGTGCTGCTCAACTCAGCTCTGTCTCAGGCAAACCCAGCATGGACTTTGGGGAGGAAGGATCAAAGGGCAAGGATAGGGACAGCCACACACACCCCCATTTATACACAGATGCATATACGATATGCACATGTATACAAAACCACACTCACACACGGGGACAGAAAGACATTTGCACACACACCTATGCACATATTCATACAAATGTGTATATATGGGTAAGTACAAACACACAAGCAAAAAGAAATACATACATAGGTACATGTACATGAAAACTTACATATCTACAAATCTCACACTTGAGTAGACAAACACTGACTCTCCACTACAGGCCATCTGTCATTTATTAAGTCATTCAATAAGCACGCACTGTGTGCCTGTTAGGAGCCAGGCACAGACCTGTCCCAGGTGCTGGGAGAAAACCATGGCCAAGAAACAGTCGACCGTGCCCCCTCTCACCCAGCAGCTGCTTCCAGTTTTTGATGAGGACTTTGGCCAAGGACACCACCTCCTTGTCTGAGGAGTGTTTGCGGACCCCATTAACGGCAACTCCAATCCTGGTTGTCTGCAAAGTGAGAGGGTTCAGGACTGGTCCGGGAAGGGACACACAGGCCTGGCTGCCCTAAATGGCAAGACCTGCCCCAGCTCAACCACCTCCTTGCCTCAGCCTCAACTTCTCCAGAGCCCCAGCCCTGACCTGTGGCTGAGATAACAGCTCTGATCCTAAAACTGAGGGCCTGACCTGCCGCCCAGTCCCCTGCACTAAGGGATAGCTGTGGCTTTGGTGAAAAGCGGAGGTGGTGGTGATGGTGGGTCTAGCTGATGATCAGAACCCCTCCCCATTCCCCAGCCCCTGGTGTCTTCAAGCTCAAGTTTCAGCTTAAGACACAGCTCTGGCTATTAATTTTTCGCAAGGCCAAGAGCTTCTGGTAATGTTTGGGGGCTACGTGGGCAACACAGGGAGGATCGAAAAATGGGGGACTTTCCCCTCTCCCTGGATCACTGGCCTCTTGGATCCCGTAGGCCCAGGACCTTGGAAACTGGGGTATTCAAGGAAAGCACATGAGTCTTTCTTCCAGACCCAGAGGGCTCCCTGTGCTTGGAAGGTCCCTTATCCCATCTAAATGCCTCAGTCTCCACCCTCAGAGCACCTCAACATCTCTTCTCTCCCCAACCCATCCCTCAGAAATTCCTCCCAGACCCCACCCTGGGAAGTCTCCCTCCCCAGGGTCTTTCCCCCCAGAAAATCTCTCCCACCCAAGCACTGCCCCCCAAGGTTTCCCACCCCACCCCACCTGGAGTAGCTGGATGGACATCTGACAGCTGTTCAGCTTCTTCAGAAGGTCGAGGGCCCCTTCCTGTGGATGCCACAAGGTGAGGACTGAGGCCGGTGGGTTCTGCCTCAGGCCCCTCTCTGACCATTGTGTGGTCTTGGTAGGAAAGAGGGAAGCAGGAGGTAAGGAGGAGACCGTTCCAGCTACAGGATACAGGTAGACAAATGGTTGAGGGACAGGCAAGGGACAGAAAGGAGAGAGAAAGAAAAAATTCTGCCCCAGACCATCTCTCCGACTTCATCTCCCATCATCTAGCTGTGTTCGAGCCCTTGAGCCAGGGGCCAGCCCTAACCACTCACCCTGCCCTCTAGCTGTTGGTTCTGCTGTTCTTTCTACTGGGTATGCTCTCCCCAGTCCCCCATCTCTTCCTCTATAATTAATTACTGCAAGGCTTACTTGTTATTGCTTTTGTGTCTGTATCCTCCTCTCCTCGCTTTCCACCTGTGAGTTTCTGCAGGGTGAGGACTGTGGCTTGTTTTAAAAACTAATTTCATTGAGGTATAGTTGACATATAATAAACTGGACATATTGTAGGCTACAATTTGATGAGTTTTGACATGTATACTCCTTTGTAACAATCAACTCAATCAAGATAAGAACATAACCATCACCCCCAAAAGCTTCCTAGTTCTCCTTTGTAATCCATCTCTCCTTGCACCAACCTCAGGCATAGGACACCACTAGTCTATCACGATAGATGGGTTTGCATTTTAAGGATTTTTATATCAAGAGTACCGTAATGGGCTCCCCTTTATCTGGCTTCTTTCACTCAGCATAATTATTTTGAGATTCATCCACGTTGCCGTGTACATCAATAACTCCTTTTTACTGCTGAGTCATTTTCCATTGTATGTATTTACTACAATTTGTTTATCCATTCCACCTGTTGATGGACTTTTGGGTAGTTTTCAGGTAGGGGCTACTGCAAATAAAGCTGCTAGGAACATTCATGTGCACATCTTTGTGTGGAAATATACTTTCATTCCTCCCAGGTAAAGAGGGCAGTTTTAATCGCTGGGACCTCAGGGCTCAGCCCACATCCCAGGGCTCCTTGAGCGAACAAATCCAGCAGAAAGCAGAAAGCAGGTGGGGAGACCGGGAGCAGAAGAAAGGAGACACTCATTTGAAAATTTGCTGGTTGCCAAGCCGTGAACAGCCCCTGACCCATTTCAGCCTTCTCCTTCCTCCCACCCGCTTCCTAGAAGCCAGGCCCGGCCTCCTGTCCTGAGTTCAGTTCCCTGAGTATCAGCTGACTGTATCCTGGAGGCCTCTGCCAGGCTTCCTGGACCACATCTCTAGTACTGCCAGTCCTCAGCCTCCCTTAGAGCTTGGGTTCACAGTATGTTTTCAGAGGTGTGACCTGTGGGTTGTGTGTGTATGTGAATTTGTGGGCATATAACTCTGCATGGAAGATTCAAGGCTTAACTATGTGCTGGACACTCTTCTAAGTATTTTACATGCATTATCTTGTTTAACTCATACAATGACCCTATGAGGTAGCTGCTATTACTATCCTCATTTTTACAGATGATCCCATTTTCACAGAGGAGCAAGAAACAAAGAGGTTAAATCATTTGCACAGCATTACAGGGAACAGAGCTGGGATTCAAACTCAGGTCTTTCAGGTTCTAACCACTACACAACTATGTAGGTATGGACTTAGATCTGTCTAGACTTGTACTGTCATGGAATATCCAACATAGGTAAGCGCAGTGGTATGTTGGTCAAAGTTTAACCACCAGTTTTCGAGGCCGGGGCGGGGGGGGGAAACCCTGATTTGTAGTGTTTGCCAATTTCTAGTGTAAATACTCTTCCCATGACCAATTTCAAGCTACCCACATGCTGTCACTGAACTGAAGGAGGTATTGGGGAAGAGCACACCATTATATAGTATTTTCACCATATTGATATAATAGAATTAAATAATCTCTAGACTATAGATGACAGTAAAATGTAGTAAAAGAATTAGGAAGTGATGACTTTGGAGTATTATTACCTTTTTAAAATATAACTTATTTAATTGTAAGCTTATGATTTAATTTTTACAATAATGGCAGTATTTAACAACCAGCTTCAAAGTTCCTGAAAGTTCAACCACCAGTGTTAAGCCAATTCCATCTCACCACTGAGCGTGTGTCTCTGTATGTCACACTGATAACTAGGTCATGTTGGAAAACAGCCACGAGCCCTGATTATAGCCTTGTGCAAGTATTACTAGATGTGTCTGTCTGCACACACGTATGAGATATGCAGCCAGCAGTGTCCCTGGTCCAGGTGTAGAGTTGTGGGTGTGCAGCCCAAAGCACAATGTGTTTATCTTTGTGGAATGATGCCTGTGTTATAACATCTGAATGTGTAAGTGTAACTGTTAAGTCTGTAGTTTTGCATGTCTAGGTATAGCTTATTGTCTATATAAAGACAATGTGGAAAGTTGTCTTTGTGTATCTTTCTGTAAATAATGGTCAGTGTATCTGTCATGTTATGCAATTATGTTCATAGTTGCTTGTTTAGTTATTGTTATGTGTGGCTGTATGGGCTGTGTGTGTGTGTGTGTGTGTGTGTGTGTGTGTGTGTGTAGTGATATTTGTTTTGTGTAATTATGTTTATGTGTAGTTGTGACTTAGTGTTTTTATGTTTGAAGCTGTTTCAGTGGGTGCATGCTTACAATGCCTGACAGAAGCCTTAAGTTGCTGGGACTTCAGTAACCGGCAGTAAACCCCAGCCAGGCTTGAGCTGCAACGTGGAGGATCTGTCTTATTGCAGGAAGTGTGTCCTCTCCCTAGCCACCACTGGACAGGCCCACTTCCACTCCTAGAGGAGGCCCCACCTTTCTCGAACACATGCCCAGACATCTGTGCCCACCCAGAGGCTGCCAAGAGCCCAGGCGCAGACGTGGCTGCAGACTGGCTCTGTGCTACAGGGACCCTGTGGCCAGATGCACATCTTTCCTGGAGAGAGCTCTGAATACTTCCACAGGAATCCATTCCCAAGGGACACCATTTCCTCTTCCCATTTCATGGAAGAGGAAATAGAGGCCCAAAGAGGGGAAGTAGAGTGGTAGGCTTGTGGCCATAAAAGGAATGAGGGGATGCCAGGGCAAGTTCCTCCCTTCTCAGCCAGAGCTCTATGCCCAGCCAAGCTGCCTTTCCCAGGTCTCCTAAGCTTCCCCCCGCCACCCCCGACCCTCATCCAGAGGTCCAGAATCTCCCAGCCCAAACCTGGGTCAGCAAGGGGCAGGGCTGGGATAACCCGTCCACTTGCCAGTGGAATTTAACTCAGGGTTGGGCTCTGCCGCCCTCATTTCGGAAAGTGCCCCCCATGACTTGAGACTCAGTTTCACTGATTTTGGAGGATCTGGGAAAGGGGGCTAGGGGTGGGATGTAAGGGTGAGAAGCTGGCAGCAGCTTTCTGCAGGTTTCTGTGTTTCATCTGGCTGTGCAAAAGCAAGTCTCGTTCTCTAACTCTTAGCCAGCACCATTCCAAGTCCCACTAAGGAGTTTTACATCTCTTTCACTCTCACCATCACCAGTAGAGACAAAAACCCATTGAAACTCCTTCCCAGGAGGTAGGTATTTCATCTCCTTCTTACAGATGGAGAGACTGGGACGCTGGCCTTTATATCAACACCAACTCATTTCTGCTCCTGTCTACCCTATAGCTTCCTGCCGCCCCTCTGCTCTAGCGGCTCTTCCCTGCTCTAAAACCTCTCTTGGGGTCTACCCCTTTCCCAAACTCCTTGGGTCACAAAACGCCCTGGAAACAAGTCCTGCTCCAGGAAAAGGCTACGGATGGTGGAGAAGGAGGACGGCCCTGGGACACAGCGAGATGGGGGGGTCACGCCTTCTAACCTCTCTGCTTTTCCCTTCCCAGGTGTGCCCAGGATCTTCTCTGACCCAAAGCCAAGTTTGCTCTGGCCAGGAAACCCTGAGGCACCAGCATGAGGCAAAGATCACGCGAAGGATCAAACATTAACTTCAAGTCGACCTGCGCTCCGGGCTCCTGGACCCGCAGATTGGTGACGCCAGCACTGATTCTCCTCAACCTCCGGGTTTGTCTGTCCACAAAGCCCAGGCCATCAGCCGGTCCCCCCGCCCCGCCCCGCGGGCTGCGAGGGCTGCGGCTGCCCGGCACCTGTTCGGGCCCCCGCCAGCGCGGGCTCCACCCTGCGGCCAAATAAAGGGAAAACTGCAAACAGAACCGCTCCTGGCGCCCCAAGGTGTGGAGTCGCGGAACCACAGTCTTTCACTTCTCTCTCCCAAATCCACTCCCAGGTGCTGGGTAGACGCGGTTCAGCACCCCTCATCCGCCCAAGTTTCTTTGCTCCTTCTGGAGCCACTAGGATTTTGTCCCCCCCACCCCTCAGTCGACTCCACTCCCCTGGCTTTGCACATGTCGTGCGTCCCGGGACTCCAAAAGTCATTTTCCAGGTCCTGGTCCCTTCACTCGCTTTCCCTGGTCCTACACAAGCTACCCCGGGGCCCCTGAACCCTACGCGTCCAGAGGAACGAGCATAAGTCTCGTCTTCGGGGCCCGCAAGATTCCCCGGGCGTCCCGAGCCATGCACACGTCCACTCCGGGGTGCCCAGCAGTCCCCAAGGGGCGCTGAGTCCTGCACTAGCCGCACCTCCCTTGGGTCGTGAGTTCAGCCCGCGCCTCCCGCGCGCCGCGCCAGCACGCGTCCCCGGGACTCCAGGGCTCGCCCGCGCCGCGCCTCCCGGGGGCGGGGGCTGTGGCCCAAACTCTGCAGCCTCACCGTGTTCTTCTTGGCCACCATCTTCTCCAGCTTTTTGGCGATCCTCAGCAGCTCCTCTTCCTGGCCCATGTTGGCCCGCAACGCCCGGCGGGGCGAGGGGCTCAGGGGCGGCAGCAGGCGGGCCTAGGGGACCAGGCGCAGAAGCTGGGAGCGTGCAACCCGCGCGGGCCGCAAACACACAACACACCCACACCCATACCCACACACACGCACGCCTGGCGGGGGCGGGGCTCTCCCCCCACCCCCGCAGTCCCCCCTCCCCCCACCCCCGGTCGGCCTGCCTCTGACGTGGGGGAAGGGGTGGTGTGCACTAAATATAGACTTCAAGGACTCGCCGGGGCGAAGATTGCCCCGGCAAAGATCGCCGGCGCCTGTGGGTCGGGCCTCCGGAGCTGGACGAGGCTGCGAGAGAAGAACCTTCTCCTCGAGCCCTTCCCGGGGGACCCGGGGCTGAAGGGAGATTTGGCGAGCAGGGCTCTCGGGCGAGCGCGGAGGCCGTCGTCGGAGAAAGGTACTGTTCGCCCTGAAGGCCAGCTCAGCCATGCAGTAAGGGGCGCACACCCCGCATCCTGCTTGGCGCGAAACCCAGCGGGAAATACACCGTCCATATGCTGCTTGGCACAAGTAGAAATTCTCCGAACACCCCCAGCCAGTTGCTCCCAGCCGTTGCCACCGGTTACTTACTCCGCCCTGTAAAAACTAGACCCTTCCCTTGGTCGGGGCTGACGCCACTTGTGGATTCAGCCCGGCAGGTTAATAAACTTGCTCCCTTGAATATTGGTGTCTCTCGCACCCTCCATCCTCAGCAAACCTTTCATTTTGGTGCGGAAACCCGGGAGGGGAAGTTCAGGAAAGTGCTGGATCGCCCTTACCCTCGTCTCCCTCCCTCAGCTCGATCCACGCTGTGGTCTCCTTCCCGGACCTGCCAGGGAGACACCCGCAGGGGATTTCTCGCTTCCATTGCTGACCTCACAGACATCAGTAGGCTAGTCCACACCTCCTATTTGGGTGAGTACGGATTCCCTACTCTCATTCGGCTCTTCTGCTCTCTGTCTCAGCTCGTCAGACCAAGACCTAGTGTGGGGACCCAGGCCCAGAGAAATGAAAGAAACTTCTGCTTCAGCAAAAATTAACAAAGTATCTTGTCAAGAAATTGGGAAA